CACCACCTCCTCCACCGCCACCGCCGCCTCCACCACTTCGTTTATTCGGTGATCTAAGAACAATCAAAATTAAAAAATAATTTGAAATGATAAAAGAAATAAAAATATTCACCTAGAGCGACGTCCACGAGATCTTGAACGAGATGGAGAACGACCTCTTTGTCTTGAATATAAGTAACGTCGTAATTCTCGTGAAATTGGCTTTAAATGCATGAAATTACAGAATCCGGAACGTGTGCATTCTCCCATTTCATATTGGCGACAACAAGCTTCACGAAAATCTGTAACAGGAGAAAGTTCCGCATACACTGGACGCCCACCAAACCATCGATTGTTCAGTTCTTTGGCAGCACGTTCAGCGTCTTCTTCACGACGAAACTTTATATAAACATTGCCAACCAAATGATCTCCGAGGTTGTCACAAACATTCATTTCTTCAATTTCACCATATTTGTCTTCCAGTTCAACGAAAACATCTTCAAAGAAGTTATCGTAATGTTCTTGCATTTCTTCATCAGACACATTTGCTACCACTAAAAAAATATTTGAGAAGATTTAATAAGAAAAGAGAAAACTAGAAGAAGAATTTGAAATTACAATGTGAACCATCAGCAGACTTCGCCGAATTTTGTGGATTAACATAAAGATTCTGAAGAAGACAAGTTTGTGAGAAAGTAGGTTTGTTGTGAATACGTGAACAGCGATCGCCATGTCGACATGCTCCGATTTTGAAGTAGAAGGAGCAATTTACTCTGAAAACACAAAAAGTAAACAAATCAATTAAAAATGATAAAGAAATTAAGTTTTTTCAGTAGCTTACTTGTCTTTTTCTGTACCGAAAATAGAAGCAAGATATTCGGCCATTGTTTATTATTTCATTCAATGCTTCAAAAACTGTTTTAATTATATAGTTCTTGATTAAATTGAACTCAGAAAAATTAAACTTGTAAACGCTTCCCAGAAATATTAAGAGAGGGGCACGAAGCAACGAACGAAACTACAGTGAAGATTCTTTAACTCAATAACAATCATTAGATAATAAACAAATTTCTTAGTCACCCTGCACTGTTCAATTTATATAAAAGTTACAAGCCCCGCTCTTTTATTTCTAGAATTTTGTAGAAGAAATCAGCGAATACCTAAGTGTTCATAAAGAGTTTAACTTTTCAATTAGACAGATTACATCGAGGTAAAAACATTTCAATAAATTAACTGAAGGTGCATACATAATTAAATGGCTGATGTAAGTTAATATGTGATATTAATATTTTGAAAAACATAAAGATAAATGATGACTTTGTTAAATTTCACAATGTTTTAAATTTTTACAGATAAATAATTTAAAAGAACGTGGGAATGCTGCTCTCACTGCTGGAAAGTTCGATGAAGCTATTCAAGCATATACTGAAGCTATTAATTTAGATGAAACGAATCACGTTCTTTATTCAAATCGTTCTGCTGCATATTTAAAAGCCGGAAAATTACAAGAATCTTTGAATGATGCTGAAAAAACAATTGAGATCAATTCAAAATGGCCCAAAGGATATTCACGTAAAGGTGCAGTATTGTTTGCACTTGAAAAATACGATGAAGCATACACTTGTTACAATAAAGGTAAAATTAACCTGAAAAGTTTTAACATAAATTTGCATTTTATGTTTTGGAATATTCGAGAACATTTCTCTAATTTTCGTAACATTTTTAGGATTAGAATTTGACCCGTCGAATATACCTTTGAAACAAGGCCAGGAACAGGTTAAACATGCTTTAATCCAACAACTAATAGGACAGGCTCCCATGGACGTTGACTCACCGGAGTCACCAAAAGCTAAACCTCGTGAACCATCGCCACCCCCACAAGCTAAGAAAGTTCCAACTGAAGACGACAACCTTCCAGAACATAAAAAACTCGCTAAAAAGGAAAAAGATGCTGGCAATGCTGCTTATAAAAAGAAAGATTTCAATACTGCATTGGATCATTACAAGAAAGCCATCGAACATGACCCAACCGACATAACATTCTACAGTAACATAGCTGCTGTCTATTTTGAACAAAAAGATTTCCGAAAATGCATCACAGAATGTGAGAAAGCAATTGAGATTGGACGAGAGAATCGCGCTGATTACAAACTCATTGCAAAAGCTTTTACTCGTCTCGGTAACAGTTGCAAGAAACTTGGAGAATTTAAACAAGCGAAAATAAATTTTGAAAAGTCTTTGTCGGAACATCGAACGCCAGAAGTTAAAACTTTGTTATCACAAGTCGAAGCCATAATTCGCGAAGAAGAACGTCGAGCCTTTATCGATCCAGAAAAAGCAGAAGAAGAGAAAGAAAAGGGAAATGAATATTTTAAGAAAGGAGATTTCTCATCAGCTGTGAAACATTACACTGAAGCGATTAATAGGAATCCAGATGATCCAAAGTTATACTCAAATCGTGCTGCATGCTATACGAAATTAGCTGCATTTGATCTTGGATTAAAAGATTGCGAAATGTGTATTAAGCTTGATGAGAAATTTATTAAAGGCTGGATTCGAAAGGGTAAAATTTTACAAGGAATGCAGAATCCATCACAAGCCTTAACGGCATATCAGAAAGCACTTGAAATCGATCCAACTAATAGCGAGGCTATTGATGGTTATCGAACATGTACCATGGCTGTTCATTCTAATCCAGAAGAAGTAAGAAAGAAGGCGATGAACGATCCAGAAGTTCAATCAATTCTCAAAGATCCAGCTATGAGAATGATACTTGAACAAATGCAGTCTGATCCAAAGGCTGTTCAAGAGTACGTTCAAAATAAATTATTATCAATTCATTAATTAATTAACATCTTTTTTCTCATCTTTTCAGACACTTAAGAAATCCTGAAGTTGCGAATAAGATTCAAAAATTAATGGAGACCGGAATCATTCAAATTCATTAAAAAATAAGTTTCATGCGGTTAAGTTAGAAGATTATTTGGATGAGATATGTTTGGAAGTGGTTAAGCGCTTGGTTGAACACTAATTTTTAAAATGAAGTTCTTAATTAATTTTTAACTTAAATTTCACAATTTCTATTATCTCAAACTATTCCTTGTGTTAAGTTTTTATAGCCTTCCGATAACCAGCTTAACAACTCTCAAACTCTGTAATTGATTTATAATTGATCCTTTGTGAAAAATAAAATGAATTCAGTCGAAAGAACTTACTTTAAGAAAATGTTTGCCGTATGAAAAGCAAATTCAAAAACTGATCAATAAAGAAACACAACAATAAGAGAATGAAGTCAAATATTTTAATTATTTTTTTAAATTTTTCAGAGATGTTCAATTAAAATATAATTATGAAGTGACAGAAACATTTTATTATTTATTCATTTTATTTGATTCAAAAATATTGCATTTACATTCTGAAGACTGGTTTTAAGTTTACTATGGCGTCGAAAAATGCTTGAAGAGGTTTTTAAGAAAACACATTTTATGATAATGTTGTCTCATACAAAAATAGAACAAATAAAAGATTACATTTAATCAAAAAAAGAGGCAGTATCAGTGGCATAAAATCTAAACTTAATTAATCTTTGCTAATCGTTTGCCGATTGTTTACCGATGAGTTTTATTTCTTTCAAGAAACGGATTAAGAATCATTTAGTTAGCTTAATTATCTTAAGTTTGGTAACGTATGACAATTGACGAGAAAAGCATTTAATGGCAAAAAATTTGATTTTTTTCTTATGTTTGATTTCTTTTGGTATATTTTTTAAAGGAAGAGAAGGGAATTGAAAAAATATTGGCACATTTAATCGATAAAATTTGTAGCAAACAATTATGTTTAAAAAAAGAATGAGAGAAATATCAGTTAAGCAGAAAGATTGTCTAATTTCGTATGCACACTTGACATCTTGATACTTTAGTATGAAGGTTTCCTGCTTTGAGCGTTTGTTGTTCGGGTGTTCTGAACTGCTGTTGTTGTTCAACTGTCACCATCCAGAAGCTGGTCATTGTTTCGTAATAATGGCATTGTCCTTTTCCACCATTACATTCAATGAATGGTGTAGCACGGAAATCTTGCAAGCAAGATCCCGGTCCAGAAAGGGCTTGACCACCACCGCCATGTCCAACAGCAGTGTGCTAAGAATTGAATAAAATTAAACAACATTTTAAAACTTTAACATGTTGCAATAATCACCATAAGGAAGGTCCAACCGATCCAAAGTCCATCCCATCCATAAGGACATTCAGGAATTTGTGACGATTGACTGTGAACAGCAATAACATTTGATGGGACTTCACAAACGACACATCTGGAGATGTATGGTCTCATTTCATAATCGGATACAGGCATCATAGGAATTTCTTTGGAAGTCGATAACCAGAAGGTTCTGTCATTCCTTGATGCATAATTACAAACATTGTTTTGACCGCATGCCATCACAGGCATAGTTGAGAATTTACGAACACAAGAACCTGGTGATCCTAAATCTTGATTAGCTGGGTAGTCATTACCATCAACGTACATGAGAGAGTAACCATCCCAGATTTTAACGTGTCCAGGTTCACATTGTGGGATGTCTTCTGATTGACTGTGCTTGACTAACAGGATACCAGTTAAGTAATCTGGTGCTGATGAGCATGGAGCTCCAGGGTTTCCTTTCACACCTTGTAATCCAGGGACTCCATCACGGCCAGGTGCACCAGTCAAACCAATTTCGCCTCTTAATCCAGGTGGTCCACGTGGACCTTCTAATCCTTGTAAACCGATTTCACCTTGTTCACCACGTTCCCCTTGCAATCCAATAAGTCCAGGTTCTCCAGTCAGTCCACGATCACCTTTATCACCAGGTCTACCAATTTGACCAGGTTGACCTCTCAAAGGTGGAGGTGCTGAAAGACCAGCCTCACCTATTGATTGAGTTATTAGTAAAAGAAGTTTCTGAAAAACTTGAATATTAATTTACCCTTTTCTCCCCTTTCTCCGGTCAAGCCCGGTAAACCATCTTTTCCAGGTGGCCCTCTCATGCCCTTGTCTCCAACAAAACCTTGAGGACCATCGAAACCAGGTTGTCCTTGATCACCCTACATACATTATATATACATAAATTATGCACTTAACTTATTCGTTTAGTCAAATAAAAATACCTTATCGCCTTTCATTCCCGGAATTCCATTCAATCCGCTTGGACCTGGGAAACCTTGATCACCTTTCTCTCCTTGGAAACCAACTGGGCCAGGCAACCCTTGTTCACCTTTAGCTCCAGTGTAACCACGTTCACCTTTTCTTCCTTCAATTCCAGGAAGACCATCTCGGCCAGATGTTCCAGGCAAACCTTTAACAAGTTTGTTAAATATAATGCACTAAACTTATTAAATATAAATTACCTTGTAAACCACGATCTCCTTTTTCGCCGGATCTTCCCATTGGACCTGGTAATCCTCTAACTCCTGGTGCACCATTTAATCCTGCTAAGCCCTTATCACCTTTTTCTCCAGCAGCACCAATCAAACCATCTCGACCGTTTTTGCCAGGTCGTCCGGGCAAACCTTAGTTGAAATATTATATTTTGATTATTTTTTATGGTGGCAGAGAATCACTACGATGAAGTTTTCTTTTATAAGATTAAGAGCGATAATATTAAAGCCAATTATTGAGACTGATACTAAACTAAAACCGGAATGAATTAATGTTTAATTATAACTTAAGAATCTTGTTGAAAGTATATAAGCTTATCATGTATTAGATTATAGTATCAGTAATATAATAAATTATACGAAAATATGATAACACAATCAGAGCATTAACAGATAACAGTTTTAAAAAATTGAGTTTTAGCTTCAGATGAAACAGTTTATATTCTTCTCTCATTATGGAACGTCTTGTTTCACTTGATGATTATGAACGTCAAGCTTCTAAAATTTTGCCAAAAAATGCACTCGATTATTATCGTAGTGGTGCAGGCAATGAACAAACTTTAAAATGGAATAGAGAAGATTTCAATCAGTTTCGAATAAGACCAAGATTTCTAAGAGATGTCTCGATGTTGAATACAAAGTGCAAAATTTTAGGATGTAATGCATCATTTCCTTGTGGAATATCTCCAACTGCTATGCAGCGTATGGCTCATCCACAGGGTGAAGCAGCAAATGCTATAGGTAATATTATGTGACATAAATTTATTTTTCATGCTTCTATTTAATCATGTTTTTGAATTCCAGCTGCTGCTAATGAAAATGTAATCTTTATTATGTCGACATTATCAACATTAAAAATTGAAGATGTTGCTAATGTGACACAAGGTTCATCTAAATGGTTTCAGCTTTATATTTATAAAGACAGAAAATTAACAGAATCAATCATAAACAGAATCGAAAAAAATGGATTTAAAGCTATTGTGCTGACTGTCGATGCTCCACTTTTTGGATTAAGAAGAGATGATTTACGAAACAAGTTTACATTACCAACTCATTTAAATTTGGCAAATTTTTCGGATGTTGTTGAAAGTAAAGGAGGCTCAGGCATAAATGAATATGTATCAGAACAATTTGATGCTTCAGTAACTTGGAAAGATGTTAAATGGCTAATGAAGTATGATTCTTATCATTTTAAAATTCAAAAATATATTATTTTTTACTCTTTAGTTTTACAAAGCTTCCTGTTATATTGAAAGGAATCTTAACAAAAGAAGACGCTCGTTTGGCTTGCGATCTTGGTGTAGCTGGAATCATTGTTTCAAATCATGGTGCACGACAAGTCGATAATGTTCCATCTTCAATTGAGGCATTGCCCGAAATTGTGAAGGAAATTAATGATGAAATTCCTGTCATGTTTGATGGAGGTATAAGACAAGGAACTGACATATTTATTGCGCTATCGCTAGGTGCTAAAATGGTTTTTATTGGAAGACCAGCTTTATACGGCTTAGCGTGTGAGGGACAACTTGGAGTAGAAAAAGTCATAAAAATTTTGAAAAAGGAATTTGAACTAACTATGTGCAACACCGGTGTAAAAAATATCGGAGAAATTACAAGAGATATGATTGTTCATAAAAGTTATTATGCAAATTTGTAAAAATATGAATAAAACATCATGTGCCATTCAATCTATGTAAAGAAAGTATACATTTTTCAATTGTTACCTTTTTCTCCTTTAATTGCAGGGCCCATGTCACCTCTTTCTCCAAACATTCCTTGATCACCTTTCTGACCCTGGATACCATCCATTCCTGGTAAACCAACTGGACCTGGAGATCCAGTGTCTCCCTTAAGTCCTGGCAAGCCTGGTTCTCCTTGCAATCCTGGTAATCCAGCAGGTCCAGGTAGCCCAACAATTCCAGGCAATCCTTTTATAGAAATATAGCAAAGGGATCTAGATAATATTTTTAAAATTGTAAATATTAACTTTACATACCTTGATCTCCCTTTTCTCCACGAATTTCATTTACAGGTCCAGGCAAACCTCGATCACCAGTAAGACCACGGTCTCCTTTCAAACCAGGATATCCAACAGGTCCTGTTAAACCAGGTTCTCCTTGGTCACCTTTCTCTCCGTTAAAACCTGGTGCTCCAGAATTTCCTTTGTCACCCTTAGGTCCTTCAAAACCTCTTAAACCTGGTGCTCCTTCATTTCCTTTCAATCCGTCTAAACCTGGTGAACCAGGAATACCATTTGGACCCATATTGCCCTTATCACCTGAAAATATTATATAAAAAAATTAATATTTTTAAAGTTTATTTTTCTCTACAATACCTTTCACTCCAGGGAAACCAGTTAATCCCATATCACCCTTTGCTCCATCTAATCCTGAAAGACCATCGAGACCATCTCTACCTGGATCTCCCTTAAAACCTTGTAAACCTGGTTGTCCAAATCTGCTCAAAGTTATTATGAAATGTGAGAATGATTAATGTTACAAGAAATCTTACCCTGGGAGACCAGCGTCACCTTTGGGTCCGGGGAATCCATCTATTCCTGGTCTGCCATCAACGCCACGAAGGCCTGTTAAATCGTGGTCATTACCAGTTATTAACTGTAAATATATTTATTTTAACCTGGTGGTCCTGCTTCTCCTTTTTGTCCTTTTTCTGAAACATCTCCAGCTTCACCCTTAGCTCCAGTTTGACCAGGGAATCCTCTATCTCCCTTTTCTCCTTCAAGACCTGGTAATCCATCTAAACCTGGGGATCCAATTGGTCCAATATCTCCTTTCAAACCAGGAGCTCCAGGAGGTCCAGTTACACCAGGCAAACCATCAAAACCTTGATCACCTTTGTCTCCTTTCTCGCCTCGTTCTCCTTTCAAACCTTCAAATCCTTGAGGTCCCGGAAGTCCTCTTAAACCTGGATTACCCTTTGCGCCTTGATAACCTTTAGGTCCATCATTTCCTGGGAAACCTCTATCTCCTTTCAAGCCAGGCATTCCAACCATACCAGGATTACCTATAGGAACATGTTAGGTTTAAATTATATAAAAATTGATTTCTTCTATTAATGTAACCATTTTCTCCTTTCATTCCATCGTGTCCAGGAATTCCGTCCATACCAGGACGACCCATTGGACCAGGAAGACCTTGAGGTCCTTTTGGTCCTTGATCACCTTTCATGCCCTATTATAAAATAATTATAGTCCTGAATTTTAAACAATTATCAAATACTATTTATTATCTTACTGTCATTCCAGGTGGTCCCGGAGTACTAAAATTTAAGGAAATTAATAAAAAGGATCCCCAAAGAATTATATAGAATTTACCCGGCTTCACCAGCATCTCCCTTTTCACCTGGATATCCTGGCAATCCTTGGATACCATCCAAACCTCTCGATCCGGAGTCACCACGTTCTCCTTTTCTTCCAGAAAAGCCGACATTTCCCTTAGGTCCAGGTGGACCAGCAACTGATAATCCTTGTTCTCCTTTTTGTCCCTTATCTCCAGGTAAACCTGGCAATCCTCGCAATCCGTCTTTACCGGGGTTACCTGATGACGAATAAATTGCGTATTTTCAAAATGTTTAATTATTATAATACAACTATTTACCAGGGAATCCTACAGCACCAGCGAAACCTTTCTCGCCTCTTGGACCTGGTAAGCCTCTAGGTCCAACAGGACCTGGCAAACCTTGAGGACCTTGCTGACCTGTGATAAAGGTAATTTCTTTCTGTGTTTTTATTTAAATTTAGTGAATTAATCATACCTGGTAATCCTTGAAGACCTCTCAGGCCAATGTCTCCCTTCTCACCAGTAATTCCAGGCATTCCTAGAATATGATTTTGTTAAAGTAGATGTTTGACAAGTATCTTTCACATAATTTCTTAAATGTTAAATACCTGTCAATCCCTGTTCTCCACGATCACCTCTTTCGCCTCTCAACTCAGCTGGGACATTTATAGGAGGACAGTTTGGTGTATCTCCTGGTATTCCTCTAGGGCCTGAGTCTCCTTTGTCTCCTTTATCTCCATCAATTCCTGGATATCCAGGTTCACCCTTAATACTAGCACCCTTTAATCCTGTAAATTATAATCATGAAATTTAAAAGCCTTTTAAGTTGAAATAACATTTAACCTGGTAATCCATCTCTGCCGGGACGTCCTGGAACACCATCTAAGCCAGGAAGACCTTGTCGTCCAATTTCACCAGCAGGGCCCTGGTCACCTGTGAAAAAATATAATTTTCACAGTTTTTTAATTAAAATCTTCAAATTGTCTAATACCTTTCATTCCTGGAAGCCCAGGGTACCCTCTTAATCCTTGATTTCCTTTTGGTCCATCTCTTCCTGGGAAACCACGAAGACCTTTATCTCCTTTTTCTGATTTTACAAGATCCCATGAAATCTGAGCTGAATCTCCTCTTGGTCCTTCAGGACCTGGTGAACCGTCTCTTCCATCAGTACCTAGAACGAAATTTAAAAAATAGAAAGGGAAATAAAAACACTGAACATTTTAATAAGAAAGTTAAAAATACTTTACCTTTAGGGCCAGGTGGACCAGGAGGTCCTGGGTTTCCATCTTCACCTCTTAATCCTGGGAAACCTTTCTCACCAGAAATTCCCACCAATCCAGGAGAGCCTTTAAAATTGATCATAATATATTAAATGTGTTCAAATTTAAATAAGTAATTTTTATTTTAAATGTCCGCTTTCGTTACCAGGAAGTCCATCAAATCCTCTTTCTCCCTTGTCGCCTTTGAATCCTGGTCTGCAATCAGAACATCTTCCACCGATATCTCCTTTATCACCACGATCTCCTTTCAAACCATGTAAACCATGTTGACCTGGTTCACCTTTTTGACCTGGTGTTCCGGCACGACCTGGCAAACCTGGTCTACCATCTCTTGAATCACCAGGAGCACCAGTTTGACCCTTAAAACCTCGATCTCCTTTTCGTCCTGGAATTCCAGGGAAACTGAAAATACAATTAAAGTTATGAATGATTATGAACAACAGTGGAATGAAAAATATACTAACCCTGGTATTCCTTGATCACCCTTTTCACCGTTGATGCCTATATTCAATGAAATAAATTCATGAAGGCTACATTATCTTTTAAAATTAAAAAAAAATTCTCCAACCTATTCCAGCTTCTCCTGTTTCTCCTCTTGGACCTTCAGGTCCAACTGGTCCAGGGAAACCTCGAGGGCCCTTAAATTACATTATGAAATATCGAGATAAAGATATTTCTTATATTTATCACCTGTAATCCAGGCAATCCACTTCGACCTGCATCTCCCTTTTCACCTTTATCACCTGGGAAACCTTCAGCTCCAGGTCTTCCAGGTAATCCTGGTCCACCTTTCAATCCTTGGAATCCTAAAAATAGAATTGGATTTTTGAAATTTAGTAAAATCGAAAAAATATGAACATTTATCAAGCACACCTTTAGGGCCTCTCTCTCCTGAAAGTCCATCTAAGCCTTTAGGACCAGGAAGTCCTCTGAAACCTAAAATTAGAAAAATATGTTTATCAAAACAGAACTTGATTGTATGTATGTATTTAAATATCTTAATTTATACCTCTTGGACCAGCAGGTCCTGGTGGACCGGGAGTCCCTTTTCCACCACCTGGAGGTCCAGGTGGACCAATAAGACCCATTTGACCAGGTTGCCCATCTCTTCCAGATTCTCCTTTTTGCCCTTGAGGTCCATCTAAGCAATGCAACCCCTCCGGACCTCTGTCACCTTATTATAAATACGAAAAAATTTGAAAAATTGCTTAAAGTGTTAAATTATGTTCCAAAGCTCACCTTTTTGTCCTGGAGGTCCTGGAGGACCAAATGGACCGTCACGACCCTGAACAGAGCATTAGTAAAGTGAATTTTAAAAAAAATTAGAAGAATTAAAAACTTACTCTTAAACCTGGTTGACCAGGAAGACCCTTCTCTCCGTTATCACCTCTCAAGCCGGGCAATCCTATAAAAGTAATTTACACATTTATGTTTATTTTTCATTTTCAATTATTGTTTATACCTGGTTCTCCTGGACTTCCGTCACGTCCATCAAATCCTCTATCACCTTTATCACCGATTGCACCAGGTACACCATATGGTCCAACAATGGTCTCGGGTTTACCAATGACCTCTCCCACACTTCCAGTGTCTCCTTTTTCACCAGGTGGACCTCTAGAGAATAAATGCTTAATAATGTGATGAGCTTTGTAACGAAAAAAGTTTTGTTACTTTAAGCATTCTCCTTTTTCACCTCTGTCTCCCTTGTCTCCTCTTTGACCATCAATACCATCATATCCTTTCTCTCCCGGTTGACCTCGATCTCCACCCAAACCTGGCAATCCAGGATTACCAATTCTTCCATCAAAGCCAGGTTCTCCTTTCTGACCTTTTTGATAATTTGTATCAAGAATCTGAGCAGGTTCACCCTTTTCTCCTTTCACTCCTAATTGACCAGGATATCTAAAACAAATATAATTATTTATTTACTAATTAATGTTTCTCTCAAATATGTTTCTTTATACTCACCCTCTTGGACCTGGGTTACCAGCTAAACCGGGTAATCCTGTCAAACCGTCAGTTCCGTTGCAACCATCAATACCTGGAATACCAGGAACACCTGGTGATCCTACTTGTCCCGGTATACCTAACAAAGATGAAAATTTTAAAACTAGCATCTATTTATCATTTAAATCTTTTGAATTTACCTGGCGTGCCAGGATATCCAGGAACTCCTGTCTTTCCGCGGTCTCCTAACATTTTAAAAATAAAATGTATTAGATATTTAAGCCATAAGTTTTATTCCCCTAAATGTTTTACCTTTAGGACCCCATGGGCCTGTGGGTCCACCTTCTCCTTTTTGACCTTTAGGTCCAGGTAAACCTTCGCTTCCAGCAAAACCTTGCATACCTGTAAATATAGAATTTTTTATTAATAAAGATGTTCAAAAGAGATTAATTCATAAAAGATTATTTAACTGATAAGAAAAGGAATAAATGAAAATTCAAAATTCAAACTCATTGCTTACGCTTACTACATGATTAATTAATAGAATATAATTTAATTGTTGAAGTATTTCATATTGAAATCGATTTGTATTATTCTGAAAATACTAAACGTTCTGTTTTCATATCCAATTAAGCATAATACCGAAATATACTCATGAATTATTTGAATAACAGATTTTTGAACAAATTCCTATGACATAATCCATATCCTGTGTCTTTAGAAATCATCTTTAGTCAATTGATGAATTCAACAAAATTAAATAATCTTTCGAAGAGAGTCATACGTTTTGCAAACATCGAACTGATTTCAACATAAACTGTTTCGTTTCGCGTAGAGGAAATGACACAAAAATTAAACAAGATTTATGTCAATAAGTTTTTAAATAAGTTTCGCTTTCAAAGCTGTGAAAATCTTTAGTTGAACAATATCTGTCAAAAGATTCACTTCGTGGATGAAGAGAAGAACTTAAATTACAATGTGGCTTTATTCAAGTGTGATATTTTTAATGCTGATGAAGCTTTCTTTTGAAGAAGAAATAAATGCAAAAGTTGAACCAGTGAATCCATCAAATGAAACAGAATCGAAAAATTCAACCATTAAATATATAAAGTACACGAATAATGGTTACTTTTATTATCCTCCAAGTAATAAATTAAATCATACGCCAAGCAATCATGTAGGATTGTCCCAAAAAGAACAAGTTTCAACGCAATGTGGTGGAATATTCAGAAACTTACAAAATCTTATCGAAGCACCAAAATTCATAACACCACGACCAATATGTAATCTTAGATGTGAATATCAAATAGTGTCGCCTTACATATGTGAGAATGAATTTCATGTGCAATTTCTTGACTTTGCAATTGACTCTTCTAAAGACTGTGAAAACGATCGCGTCATCATAAATTACTCAGAAGTGCTGTGTGGCAAGATCATTGGAGTGAAAAAGTTTAAAACAAAAGGTGGCGTTTTGAACATAACATTCTCATCGAAAATGTGGGATTTGAAGCAAGGAAAAGGGTTCCGTTTACTTGTTACAAGATTACCATGTGTTGAAGAAACGAATGAAAATCAATCTGAAGTTGATACACTGGAACCGAATTATTCAAATGATGAAGATCCCTGTTTTCGAGTTAATTCATCATATTCAGTTTCGGGTCCTAATTATAACTCGATCTACCAAGTGTATGGTGTACCGGGAGTGAATTATCCATCTGTTACGCAACGACAAGATATACCAATAACGCCTCTGCCACCTCCAACAAATCCACCAGTTTTGCCACCGATTTATCCTCCAACAAATCCACCAATATATCCACCGAATCCACCCCCAACAAGACCGCCAGTTTTACCACCAATTCAACCTCCAATTTTTCCACCGATTTATCCCCCCATACAGCCACCAATTCTTCCACCACAATTCCTGCCTCAATGCTGTAGAAATATTTACAATCAACAAAGATTTTTACTTATAAGTCAGGGCTTTCCAGCTTATGTTGTAACAAATAATGATTGTATATTTGCTATCCAACGAAGCTCTCCGGATGTTTGCAAGTTGCGTATTATTTTCAAATATTTTCTTCTAGACGATCCACAAAGTAATCAGTTTGGATGTGTCAATAATTTCATAGAAATCGACGGTCAAAGAATTTGTGGTTGTAAAACAAACTTTGTTTATGAAACATTATGGGGATACGAGCCTAAAATAATAAGATTGAGAACACTGCCAGGTACTTTCATTGTACCACAAGGTTTTGTATTTGATGTCATTCAAGAACCGTGTCCATTTAAAATTCAAGAAAATGTCCAAGCAGATGAAGTAGCTTTAAGACAAAAAAGATTTTTCTCACACGATTTTTTCCCTAAACCATTAATTGGAAGAAATTTCCCAATTCACTCACAAATCAATAAAATAAAATCGGATATTGATGAAAGCTTCCGCTCAAAATTTTATGCTTCTGATCCTAATTACGTTAACAATGTTTGCACGTTCAATTCTTTAACACTCTTCAACATGAAATTAGAAACTATTGGAATACCCAAAGAGTTTTGTTTCGCTTACTGATAAAAAAAAATATTTAAATTTCAAAGTTTATTACTTTACATTAAAAATTATTCAAAGTTAATATTGGACTTAGGAACGTTATAAAATAATTTTTTTTGTAAATGTTATCAATAAAGATCTGGGATTTTACTTAAAATATTTAAATAATTTTTTTGTAATCATACCTTTAGGCCCTGGATAACCAGGAACGCCAGGTAAACCACGATTTCCTTTTTCAGCGAAACATTTCGGAATGCAGCATCCAGAACCAGTGCAGTTCTTAGCTGGTGGGCCTCTGACTGATGCACTTGCTGTGTCGATTATATCGTAAGATTCTGGGACTCTTTGAACATTAACTCTGTCTCTATTTCTGCTTCTACCGAGCAACCCTCCGCCGCCGCTGTCAATATCATTCCACATTTGACCATTTGATTTTACAATTAAAAATGCATAAACTACTGATGCTAGTAACCACCTGTGAATAATCAGAGACAGACCGTAAACAAACGTAGATGCATCACACACGAAATAATTTATCAATGAAAATATTTTGTAAACAAATTATCAAAATACTCTCATGAGATCGTAAAAAATCTTCGTGGATCTTCGTTTTGAGAGAAGAAAAACTTGCACAAACACAGATCAACTTCGTTTCACGAAAAATTATCTTCTGTCACTTAAGGGGTTGCATTTTCGTTTTCTTTCCATTTATTGCAATTCAAGCGGATCAGTTGATGCTGAACGTTGAAGCAGTCAACATGATCAGATTCATTTAATTTTTCTTCTGTTTAAAATTCACTGGGAGGTTGATTGAAAATTATTAAAGTTTAACTAATTTTTATAAAGATTTTGAAGAAAAAGGATTTGAAATCAAGTAAATTTTTAATTCTTTTAAGTGAAGAAAACTTGTGATGCAAAGAAGAAATTATTCCCAAATAATTTTTAACAATTTTCCTTATGTCCAATGTTGCCAGATTTTCCACATAAAACTTTTCTTCATTTCCCAAAATTCTAAATTGAAACAAAAATTCTCTTCCAGCACTGAATTTGTTTTAACGAATCAAAATAAAACTATCAACACTTTTTTATATCATCACTTATGTTGCTTGCATTTTACAGGCCATAATAAAATGAAGAAATATTTTCTTCATAAAGTTTTCAATTTCTGTCATCACATTTTCATGTTTGCAAGCTCATTTTAATTATATTTTTTTGCATTTTATACAACATATACTCAACATTAATCCAGAAACATGTTGAATATAAAAAAAAAAATTTTTTAGAAAGATTTTGTAATCGCTGACGATTTTTTTTATAATTTTTAATCACTAAACTTTGACTTTTTTTATTCGACACAGATTATAAGCTTCCTTTTAAAAGCATTCATTTGTAACTTCACAACTCGAAATAAAGTATTAAAAATATTTTATTCATTGATTATTTTTCTATTTCTCACCATTCTAATTTTCTAAGGGATGCCATGCTTAAGGCGTCCCGTTGTGAGCCCATGTTCGGGCTCTTGGATTATTCAATATTCCAAAAATATATGTCAATCACTTCAATCACAGTAGAATGAACTTTTTCAAGTTTTGTTTTAAAACTCCATCAGCTTTTGAATGGAGTAATATTTAGCATAAAATGTGTACGGCGTTAAATTTTCTTCGGATCAATTTTCCTTAAAAACTAAACTCAAGCATTTAATTCTTTTATACTTTTGCACAGCTCAGCCGTTTGATTTTTTTTTCTTGTTATCTTTTTCCTTTTAACAAAATGAAATCAAAACGCGAACCAACGGCTTTTTCAATCTCGTCGAGTGGACCGCCGAACACGAACTGATCGTTGATTTCGTTCTGAATATTTCAAAGTATTCACTCACTTCGTGGTCTGTTCGGCTCATTCGGAAGCAGGAAAGTGTGGGAAACAATTGCAACACATGAAAAACATAAGCAAGGAGTTAGGAAAATGTGAAAGCCGAAGTTGCTTCGGTTATTGTAGAATGTAAAATTGAAAGAAAGACGAATGTTTAATGTGCAGTATCGTCTTGATCTTTTCCGAAGCATTGTAGCGCAAAAAAAAAATCATAAAATTCCTTCAAACTGAACTGAAGAGATATTCATGAAAATCTTTTAATTATTGGTGCATCCATAATCGGAAATAAAATGAAAAAACATATTTAAGTTGTTATGCAATAATTTTGAACTCTAAAGGCAGAGATTTAATTGTGACATCATTAATTCCGCTATTGATAACAATTTAAGAGGAAGAACGCCTTGAACTCGACTGAACTTAAAGCTTAAAGTAAGACAGACACAGTTTTGATAAGCACCCTTTTCATTGAGGCTCGAGCACACACAAGATTGTTTCACATTTTGGTCATTGATAAGACAAAAATTTTTGCTTTGGAATTATTTAGCGATTCCCTGCAAAAAAAATTCTTGTGAATGTTCAGATTGCATGCACAGTCGACGGAAACAAAAAATATATGAAAGAATTGTTTGTGACAGCAAAAGCAAATAAAGAACATAAATTTAGCGTTCTTCAGCTTTGAAAAGGAATCAAAAAGTAAAAACGGTAAATTTTCAAGCATAAATGGCCTTGAGACTAAATTTGACTTTCTTTTAACATTCTGAAGAAATGTTTTGCGACATCTGGAAGACGTTAAGATCCTTTAATCTTCCTTAAACCATTCATTTCTCGTCAAATAAAAATATGAAACGACACAAAGTGATCTACAGTTTTTGTATGAAGTAATTAATTGTGCTTTAGAAGTTCTTATCAACTTAACTTGAAATTGAGAATCAACCTCGTTTTCTCTGTTAAAAAGTCGCATATGTGTAGAAGCTTTCAATCAGTTCATCGCGTTTCTAATGCTGAAAAACATTATAAGAAATTCTAAAGAAACCAAGTGAATATTCTCGCAACTCTTTAGAAACAAAGCAAGAAACATTTGTTCATCGATAACGACGTGACATAACACATGCAAGATCATCACTTCTTTATTTCATTATTTATTATCGAACAAGATGATATGTGTGAAGACTAATAGGCGAGATTTAATCGAATCTAACAAATGTTTTAAACGATCTGATTTAAAAGTTAAAATTAAACTCTTTTGCACATAATATGTAATCTTAGATGATTGAAACGTTTGTGTTTGAACGACTTCCACACATTTTCTAACTTTTTTATTTTGCTGGGATATTCAAACAACAAAAAATATTCAGATTCGAAGAAAATATGCAGCGAAAAACATGAAAATTGTTTTTATGGAGGAAGTCAAGTCGTTTTATGATTTAATGACCGCATATTATGATCTCAAATGAAGCGTTTAGATAATCTGTCGAGTCAAAGTTTATGAAATCTTTCCATATAGATATAATGCATTCATTTAAGTTTTGCTTGAAACATTTGCAAACAGTTTTTTGTAGGTCTGGTAGGCGAGGAAAATATTAAAAATAAAGCTCGATGCAAAAATCTCTTCCATATACTCACACGACTTTATCGTTCTGTTTTGCAACATTCTGTTGTCTTTTTATATACATTTCAAAGCAAATCAGAGATGTTTGCAATTTCTTAGTTAGAAATTGTTCAGAGAGACCCAATTACAAAGCATTCTTATCAAATCAAACAGCATACTTCAATGACCTTTAATAAACACATCAGAAGCGAGTAAGAAGTGAGCTTATTAAAACTTTTTTTTTGTTGATAATATTGATTCATCACGCATCTCTTGACGATTTATTCGAGGTTGGCTTTGATCGAATATTTTGTGGCATAAAACAAAATCTATAATCACGAACTTTATAATGTATGTAGCAGTTAAGGCAATTAATATTCCAACATAATGTCGAACTCCTTCTCTGTACATCAGTTCCCGGATGAGAGAAAAAACGTTATTTTGATAAGAGATTTTCTTAACTTCGACTACATGTGTTTTCAGCATTTGCTTGTTTACAGCGAACGAAACTAAAAAAATTGAGCCTAACTCGCTGACTTTCTCGCTGTTCCATAAAACGACTTTCTTTCAATTCTTAATTCCTTAAGTCATTCCCTGATTCTCCCCGTTTCAGAATGTTTAGAAATCTAAATCACTTTGATCAAATAGCGAACATTTTCGGAACGCTCTCATGAGTTAATCAGCATCAACATCAAAGTTGAGTAACAAAAATTTATAATTACAGAAACATTTGCAACCGACTTGTTTCCATGCTTTCTTCATATTTTCACAAGACTACAAAGAGGCAAAACTGAGTGCGAAAATTCTTTTTTAATAGTCTGCATCAATCATCAGTTTCATGTGTTTTTCTTTTTGCAAAAATTAAACTTGCAGCTAAATCAGTAGCGCGGCATAATGAGGAGTATTCCGGGAAGTTGTGAAAAAGAAGAAAGAAATTTAACAAATTTATGTGAATGATGTAAAGCCACAGAAACACGTGTGCCATTACTGTAAACATTCCTATGAAGCATAAAAAGAAAATTCAAAGCATTGAGTTGGGAATAAAAAGAAGTCGCGTAAAGGCTAAGAAATTGTATACATTTTACAATATTCTTATTTTAAACATAAAATCAAATTAAAAAAAAAGTTTCTCTCATAAGTCGTATTTCTTTCAAATCTCTACACTTCTCATCCCGAATGTTTTTGTTATGATCACACAGACACCAAGATGAGTTGATGCACAGTTCTTTTCCTTCGATTTCATGGAAATGAATTTCATGTTTGAACACATGTTCGCGCTCATTTGTTGATTGAATTTAATTACCAACTATGCTATTTACTTGTGTTATTCTTTCGTGAGCTTGAACATCAGAGAAAGACATGAACGTGTGGTGTACCTGCAGCTTGAAAACCGAAGCTCCTTATTGAGAAATCTCACTCCCGCCTAAATAATTCATGATGTAAAAATCTCGATAAAATGTTCAACGAGAACTTTTCTTACACAAAAATAGAGTTTTATTTTTATAACAAGAACATCATGAATGAACTTTGTGTTATGTTAAAACATAATCTTAAGAATTATAGATTCAAAAATACTCTTACAACTTACATTTCTTTAGACTGATATAAATTTCTGGTAAATGTTAATGAAACATTTTGTATTGAGTGTATTCATGTTTTGCAAATTATTACGCGTTACGCCTTTGAAGATGACGAATGGATCATAAAATGTCGAGCATATGAACAACATAAATGCATACAAAAATATTTTCGTTCTTATAAGGCAAAATTGGATCACAAAGACTTCTGAAAATTTTAATTAATTTCCATGTTGCTGCTGTAGATGGAAAAAACTTCTTTTTTTTTCAAATTAGTTTCTAAGAGTATCAAGTGATCATTATGAAATATTCAGATTACTGCTGCGGATTACTCTTAGATTCAACTTAAATATTAAATATCATTTTAAGCAATATGAAAATTTAGATTCGTTTAAAAACTTCTTTTATTCTCCAAATGAATTTTCAATGTTTTCTTCTTTTAAATGAATATTATTGTGAATGTAGAAATTCATATTGCAGATGTTTGTTTGATGTGGTGCGAGAACGAGTAAGCTTAAGTTACATCTATGTAAGATTATAATTTCTTTATCTTCAGTATAGAAGTTTCAGTAACTTTTAACTCTCGAAGCAAAATTTAATGATTCCAATCAATGACGTCAATACAATGATTTCTATTATTTCAATAAGTCTTTGAATGAAATCTTTACATGACAAAAACGCCTACGTTTGATAATAATGAAAGCCCTCGCTTGCAAAAAAATATTTTGACGAAATTAATAAAAATGCAACAATGAGGGTTTTCTTTTATTTCAGGAAATTGCACAACTAGATACGATGCTGTATAATTTGTCGTACTGATTGTCGTCTCTCAATTACAATGCTCAAGCTTTTAAACTTGGTTTCCCTCTCCGAACTTGTTATCAAATTCCATAAAAAATTGAGAATATCATCAAAAGAAATTCTTCAAAAAAAAAATCAGAAACTGAAGATGAAAATGTGGTAACCAAAATTTAAACAGTAGCACGAGGAATCATTAAGCATTTTCAGTCGGAAATACTTCAAACTGTTACACATTATCAGCAAAATTGATAGTGATAATGACATTTTGTAGATGACCCCAAACGATACTTCTTCTTTACTTTAATTTTAGCTCAAATTTATTGCTGATACTCACAAAGCGACGTTGCCATATTTTGAAAGCGGAAACGCAAAAAAAATCTTATGATTTATGTCACTTAGTCTTTATCATTCAGCAATTAAAATTAGATTTGAGAATGTCAACGATAACAATAAAAATGGTTAATTGATGAAAATAGAATATCTTCTTAGCAGCAATGACATAATGGCACAGTTTATTTCTTTCTTCTAAACGCACATCATGCTTATCAAGCACTTGCGTACTATCAAGCATTTATTTAAGAATTTGACGTTTTAAATAGAGGACAGTGAATAGAATAGATGTGCACATTTTCATTCACATCTGGATCTTTAAGAATTGTAGGAGGTCTTCTCTTTATTTAAAAAAACTTTCAGATGGATATGCATCATGCGGAACTTTATAAAAATTCTTCTACAACATTTTTATAAATCTTTGATTTATACATTTTTAGGTGAAAATTAAAATTCTTGAATAAAATGTATTTTATGAACTTCAAAACTGATTAAATCATACATTTTGAATGAGAAGAACTGAAAGTTAAGCTAATTTTCTCTTCTTTAAATAACTTTTAGTATGATTTCGAAATATGTCAACCAACAGAATAAAAATGATTCGAACTATTAAGTAAAATCATTCCTTTATTCAACTCACTCAGTTATCAGGAATAAAAATGTTACAAAATGTAACGACTCGTTGTAATAGGTCAATTGATTTGTTGGTTTTTTCTGTAACTGTTAGAAATAATTCAAATTTGTGAAAGCTTCATTTAATGTTTTCTTACTATAGTCAGCGTAATCCAAAACTGAAAGAAGAATCGGCGTAATCTTTTAATGTTTTCGAAGTATGATTTCTCGCCACTAGATGTCAGTGTGATCACAAAAATGTTAAGATGAAAGTATCAGACACATGCTGCAAATATATTTTTTAAGCTTTGATTAGGAAGTTTACTCTCAAATCTATTTCAAGTCAAAAGATGGAAGGAAACCTTTGAAATTCAAAATTCCTAATAAAAACACAAATTATTTTTTTCTTTAAATTATTCTTTTATTAAATTTGAAATTGAATACTGATTTCAAAAAATTAATTATCAACTTAATTTTCTTTAAAACTTTTACACTTTTCTTAAGTAGATAAGTAAACATTTTTGTATTTTTGTTGAGCAAAGTGTAAGATAACATGAAATCTTCTTCTCTCTCTCAGTTTTAAGCTAAAGGCACTAAAATTGCGTCAATTATTTGTCTTTTTAAACATTCTAAATAAAGTTTTGTTGTTAATATAGTTTCCATCATTAGTTTCTATTCTTAGCGTCTAACATTGCATCCGTTTTTCTAAATAATTTATTTAATTCATAATATTAACTTACATAGATAATTCGTTTTCGCTAAATGTAATTGACTATGAATATTATAATGATTTAAATGTATCTAACTAACTTTTTATATATTTTTGAAAATTCAAGACTTTAAATTTAGATTACATTTATGATAATTTTAGCAGTTCTTTGCTTCTTTAAGTACATAACTTTTTTAATTCTAAATAATTCTACATAAATTTTAATGCGCGATTGGAAAACTATCACGTGTTAGTTTCGTATTTTTAAGTCAAATAAAAGAAAAGAAAGAAAAAAATCTGCTGATTTTTCGTTTCCATTTCATTGAGGTGGGATTAAACGAAGCTTAAGCAGACAATCCATAATCAAAACTTTGCCGAATCAGCGCTACCAGCTCGTGGAATTGACATTTTTGTAAAGTTATTAATGAAGCTTTTCGATTCCATTAGATTGTCTTCTCCACATGAGTTTGTGACAGTGTTGCATGTTGCACAATTGCACGGTTCATTAAGTCTCTTCACAAGCTTTGACCGTAACTTTAAAGCTGGGCCAAGTTTCATCCCCAAAATATTAATTAGATGTTCCTCTGTTAACATCATCAAACCTTCACCATCAATGCTCTGCTCGCGGAAATTCTGTAAATGAGAAAAGAAAACAAAAAAATTAGCTAAACTAAATCCAGATAACACAATGACTGATGGCCACGTGCCCTACGGCAGCACCATCACGAATTATCCATTAATTTCATTTTTGCAGCCTTTTTATTTTCATCCCATCCCAACGTATCGTCTTCGTCTGTGAAACAAGTTGCAAAACGCATTGTAGAAGAGAATGAAAGAGGTTGGTCAAATTATGGTTCATGTTTTGCTTCTTGCCTTTGCAGTCTTCGTTCTTTCTATAGTTTTCCTTTATCTCTTATATTATTTGAAGAAAAGTTTGTTGAAGGAAATATGAGAAGAAATGCGTTTCATGCTTCCCCCCTCCCCTTTGACCTGTTAAAGACAAACGCAAGGCAGTCGTTCAAGACAATAAATTACATCGTAATTAAAATGGACATTAAAATCCGGTAAAGCCACAAAAGCTTTTATGTGGAAGATAATTGCATTCAACATTGGATGCTGCATATTGTGCAACAATTAATTGCGCTTCTGTCCGTAATCTCATCTGTCTGAAATGCAGAATTAATTAATCTAATACGATGTGGGGTGTTGTTTCTCTATCGTTTCTTTGTCGAAAACACTCCTTGATCGCGTTTTCTTCGTCCAGTAGCGTAAAGCTCAGATGATTAATTGATATACAAAGCCGATGAATATGCTTCAGCGATACGTTTTCTTTTATTCATTCTATTACAAGCTTAACGTTTAGCGCAAGCTCTGAACTAAGTAAAATAAATTTGTTGTTTGTCGATTGTACAGATTAAAGACATTTGTCTTCTTCGTATTCTGTTTCTTGCAATCAAAACAAAATTGATCTTCTTGTACGAATGATCATTGAGCTTACGGTTTAAAATTACTTGAGTTTTGATTACGAAAATTGTAGACACATCCATATCATTTCATTCATCATTTTTTTACCCTTCACATTATGCACTCAATAATTTATAAAGAGATTGTTTGATTATCTTTCTTATTTGTACACATTCTCGATATCCATTTAATAATCTTCCAAAAAAGAGAACGTTTTTCACATGCAAGAAGAAAACACGACAAGCACTTGCACATTTTTTATTGTAGTCTTGTGGATCGAGGAGAGTGAAAATGATATGTGGAAGCGATAAAGATTTCCTTCTTCTTTTTGTGTGTCTCTTTCACTCTCTCTTTTCGTGAAACTCATGATTCATAAGACGTGTCATGTTTAAAGCAATTACAATTGAAATTAAGTAGATAAATATCATTGAAGAAGTTTTCCATCGAAAGAGCATCGTGAACTGCAATTATTGTTGCATTTCTTCAACTTCAAGGAAATGTCGAAAAAGAAATTCTTGTATTTAATTATTCGCATGATGTGAATAAGAATCATAATATGAATCATGTTGCGTTTACATAAATCTTCTTACTACTTAGTAATTAATTACGCACACAATCATAATTCGCAACATTTCCAATGGGTAAAGAAGAAACGAGAAGGCATGTGAGGTTAATAATGTCGCGACTTATCACATATGCACGCAAAATTCAATGACAAGTTTTCTTCTCTTTCTTTGCTTTTAAAAAATCGTTTCATATAGAAATGAATCGTGCAAAGTTCAAGGTTAAATTGGAGACTTGAGCGATGGCGAACTTTGAAAGAAATTGAAATGATTTCGATCGAATACGACACTGTTATCATTGTTCTCAAATTACCTTCTCTCATTCGCTTGTCTGTCTGTTTGTTGGTTTATTTGTTTGTTTCCTTATGTCCCTCAACCCACGCACAACTCTTTAACCATTTTAATGAATACTAATATGACTTAAAGCGGAGCTTTTAGCACACATGCATGTTATATCTGTGTGTCTGCCATCTTTCTAAACCGAACTAAGGCGAGGAACAACATGAACATGAACATGATTGCACTTGAAGAGTTGTTAAATGAACATAACAATTTAAATTAATATTTTCTGTTTGGTTATTTAACCGATATTTTATTGTTTCTTCTCATGCTCTGATTACTTTAACAATGTTTGTTTTATGTTAAGAGATGAGAAGAGTTAAAAGGAAGAAAAATCAGAGCGAAATGTACATTAAGGGAAACAATTGGTGCGCGCATATTGCCAGTAGCACAACATGTTACATTCATATGATAAGAAAACTAGAAATATTAAAGAAAAAAATTATTCTTGCGCGTAATTTTTCAATCAGACATTTGCAATAAAAATCGAAGACATCGAACGACGACTAGAACTATAAAAAAAAGATTGAGACGGAGAATCAAAGTTCACCCCTCGAAGCGTTAAATGTAAGAAAAGGTTGAGAAGAGTGAAAGAGCAAAAAATCAGTAACTTCTCGCTGTTCTCTTGCGATTGGCATAACAACAGAATGACCTGATTCACCTCACGTTCATTAACGTTTTGATCCAGCACATTTTCTTCTCATCTTGTTTTATAAAAATCATTCCGAAAACATAAAATAAAAGAAACTTTTTGATTGTGTGTGCGAAAAGTTAAAAAGTTCTACTGGACATTCAAGATTTGATGGCTTGAGGTGACAGTCATAAAATGCTTCTAAATAAAAAGAGAATCGTCGTTTCTGTTTTAAACATTTTTTATGTCCGTCAACATAAAAAAGAATTTAATGCAATTTAATCGTTTTGGGTTCACATATCTCATCATAATGACCCGTGATTCCATGTCATGTAAGCAACCGTAATTGCCGGGCATTATTAACTAGTGAAACGATGCAGTTGCACAAAATGAATGAATGGAGGGAAAGAATGGAAAACAGAAAACGAAGATATGAAGCAAGCTGGACATAAGAGATGAAACAATCAGTAATAATAAAGTTTAGGGAAGGCGAAATAATAAATAATTGAGCCCTAGGGCTACTTGAGCATGCACTTTCTGCCATATACATTCCTTCCTTCCCTTCTGTTGTGATTTAATTCTTCTCATGTTGCCTTCCTTCTTCACTTCTGCCTCCTTCGGATTTTTCTTTTGTTTTCACTGCTGATATTGCTGCTTCTTGAACTGAAGACGCTTGTTTTTCAGTGGCCCGCAAAATGCACAAATAATTGCTACATGCTTTATGTGGTTGATTTTTTTTTTGTTTTTGTTTTTTGTTCAAAAGCTAAGGGTTATTGCATGATAGCACGGAACGTGACCTTCATCAGAATATGCATCAGGCAGCACAAATTTGTATTGCGCAAAATAAAATAATATAAAAAAGAGTAAAATCATTCATCGTGATGATGAAAATTTTCAGCATTCTAAGCATTTCGCGTTGGCGACCTTAGTTGGATGAATTTTTTTTTTATAAAATTTTTGTTTCGAGACCTTTTGCCCTTTGGCGTTGAATAAAAATGAACACTAATAATGGCTTCGAAGCGGCACAGATCGAGAACAACGTCAATCTTTCGTTCTTTTCCAACTTTTCTTATCAACTTTTCCATCGGCATATGAACAAAAAAACATGAAATTCTATTATTTGTTATTCATCAAGAAGTATCTTGAAGAAAATTCTTTTTATTCGTTTCATCGACGAACGCGTCTGATATTTTTTTTTATTTTTTGCATGCAAGACCATCAATCGGTAGTGATTAAAGTACATGTTATTATAGCGAACCTCAGTAATAATCCATTTCAGTGGGCGTGAACTCTTAATTTTCAGACAATTCTCTAACAACAATAAGATGTTTTTAACATTGCTGCCTTTTTCAGTTTATTTTTATACCCGCGGGTCATCATCATTGTCCAATGTTGCAACAATCAGAATGAAATAAAAGTTTTGTTTGTTTGTAACGCTACTGCATCGATAATGTTTACCTTCACATCTAATGACGAGTATCATCAACTAGTAATAAATCAACAACCACATCACAATTGTGAACATTCTCGGGTGCATTCTTTCATGCCATCCTTTTTGTGTGGTTCGCAATGTCCAGTTTATGCCGTTTTGTGGTTTGCAAAGATTTATCATCTCTAGAGAATATTTGAAGTTTTTTTTTCGATTCCTCTCTCATTCAACTAATAAAAGGAAAGCAAAACGCGAAAGAAGTTTTTTTTTCTTCAACGACCACAGTTGTGCAATCAATAAACTATTCAACGAGACTGAATCTGGTTTTCATTCTCTTCTCATACAGACAGTAGTTTTATTTATTGTCGACATCGTCATTGAGATAATGAGAAGCATAATGACGAGAGTTATACATGAGGTCAATGACATGGGTCGTGACCTCAGCATTTCAATCATTATAATCATCGTCATCATCGATAAATTATGAATCATTAAAAGAACGTTAACTACATTTACACCTTGATTACACATTTATTCCACATTGAAATGAAATCGCGCATAAAGTTTGATTAACATCATAATTTTTCTAACAACAAAAGAAAGAAAATTAAAATTTATTCATGCAATCATCGCCAAGTAAATTAATCAGAATATTTAAGAAGCGTAAAGTTGTAGACGCATAGAAATTGCGAAACGTTCAGCTACCAATTATGTAAGAGCTCGTGTTAATCACAGATCATCAGTGAACACGAGAGACTGAATAAACATTTCACAATCTACCATTTATTTAATTTAAAAAAAAAGTAAGGAAAAAACAGAGCAAGAAATGACTTGTTGGCTTTTTATAGTTAAATGCAGCAATCGATAAGAACCGTTCATTTTCATGCACTGAATGATGGACTGTCCGGTAAGTTGTAAATGAGGTTCTTCGACAATTAATAATAAGATTAGAAGACTCAGATGTTGTTTTAGATTCCTAAACGTCGTCTCAAGTCACAGATGCTGGTGAATGTTCTCATTATTTATGATTCAGATATTTTTATTTTATATTTTTCTACAGTTTGCACTTTTTTCCCTTTAATGAGTAATGAAATAAAGTTGAAGTGGAAATGAAAAAAAAAGGAAAGAAAGAAAATGAATTTAAAGTAGTAAGTCGTCAATAGTTAAGGCAGTTACAGCATTGCAAAGAATTCATTGATCTTGTCAGTCAAAAGCAGTTTTCCCAGACTTAAAATTCTCATCAGAAACTAAATTGCTAAATTCAACAGCATAATGAATGATTGATTAATGCTCACAATTAGCATAATTTATTGAACGAAATTAAATGAAATTCTAAGCGAAAATTCTTTTCACGATCTTTTCCACTTGTTATAAATTTTTCATCGCATCGCGTAATAGACACAAAGATCGGAATAACAATAACTTTCAACCGCTTCCTCAACAATTCATCGAGATCAATGAGTTTGTATCGGAGAGGAAGAAAAAGAACATTTCGGACGATCAAGCAATTCAATAGAAGAATAATAAAAAAAAAGCTTTAGTACCGTTCGGTTCGTTTGCTGCAAACAATTCGCATCCCATTTGAAATCTAATGATTTTCTCTCAGTTCAACTTCTTTGCTACTTTTTTTTACGAGTTCATTGATGATGATCTAGTTTAACTGTTAAAGTCAATCGGAATCACAGATGGTTAGACCGTGATAGTTTTTCATTTTAAAACTTCTTCTTTTTTATCTTCTTTTAAGAGTTCTCTCCACCAGCAGCTCATCAGACGAGCGGAAAAGAAGAAACCACAAAATTGTGTTTTTCGCTTTCCCGCACATTTTTTTCATTTCTTTAATTCTATTGATGTTGCTGCTGGCTCAATGGCATTGCCATTCAGAGACTAGAAGAATGAATGAGTGAAACAGGTTCAAATAAGTATCAAGATTCTTCTGGTGTGGTTTGCGTGATGAAGGAATTGTTGTAGAGTTAATGGAAATGAAACGATAAAGTGAAGTTTCCAAATGGAAAACAAATCGAGTCAGTCGTGTAACGAGTTCATTAGTAAGAAGTTCTCCTGCCGATCCCCTTTCTCAAGATGTTTTAATTTCTTTTCTACTTCTAATTCTGCCTTCATTTCATAATATAAAAATAAACGCATTTTTTTTTGCATGCTTAACTGATATAAAAAGTCGAAAGCAGCTGCGAAAGGTCATCATCATTAATAGATAATTTACGACTACATCATTGGATTTTATCTCATCGCAGACAATCTCGTAAAAAAAGAGAAGAGTTGAGTCGCGAAAAAAGATGTTAATGTTATAACAGTCCCGTGACTATCAATATCATCATCATCATCAAGTGCGATAGCCAATATAACGTGAATTATAAATGCACACTATACGACGTTAGATCATGATGAAATGATTTATTGAAAGGAGAAGATTATACATCGCGTCACAAAGATTAAACATTTATAGTCTTGATGATGGTCAATTAAAACCCGCAATTTAATTTGTTAAACCTGCTCGCAATCATAGATTTTAATTACAAATAAATTGAATTTTAAAAAAGAAATATTGATAAGTTATCGAAAATAATAAAAAAATTGTCTTGAATGGTGGCGATTTGATCTTCTGGTGTCACAAACATGAAAGCTTGCTGCTGTGAAACCAGATCAACTTTTTTTTCTATCATTGTCCATGAGACTTGGTTGTATCTTTTACGGTTACATTATAAGCGACGAGTGCCAACAAGGAGCAGAAGCATAATTTATTACCGACATGTAGGCGCGCGTTCAACCACTGAAATGATATCTATCACTGCCCAAGATATATTTTTTAAACACTCAAGGATTTATGTATGCGATCATTTCTTTTCTTTGCAACTGAAACTTTTTTCTGACACAAGCTTTAATTTGTACAAGCAAAAAAAACCAGAAATGCTTATCGTTCAACCTTCTCAATGCCAGTAACAGCTACATAGAAACTTGGAGGTAGAATGATGATTTTGTTGCTTCCATCTCAATTAACAGCACATGAAAGGTGCAATAATTTTGTTAAATATTTTCTTCTTCATTAATCTACAAGTTTTTCCTGCTTTCGTCTTAAGTTTCGTAATGTTTTCATACTTTGATTAATGTTTTTTTTGCATTCTTATTAAGCAGATGACAGAATTATTTTCTTTAATGTCAGTCTCGTTACAAAATCATTGAGAATCTTCCATTTAATAAGCAAGTAAAAAAAGAAGAATTTGCCCGTCAATTCAATGGTTGTTCAATTAATTATCTAATGTTTATCATTAATGTTAAGTGGAGTAACATGTGTACTAAAATTTATAGTTTTGTGGTAGAAGAATATTAATTTCATGAACTTCTTCTGTTTTGTGCTTTTAAATTTAAACTTCTTCGTCGAGTTTTTCTTCAAAGACATTGATTCAAATTAATGTTAAGATAAAATGGAAATATTATATAAGATATATTTCGCCCACACACTTTAAATGTCAATTGAATGCCGGTAAATTAATAGTCAAGGTTGTCAAACGCAGAAATTATTCGATAATTCTAATAACGGAGGAATGGAAATTATTGAGCGTCAACTCACCTTTATATATTCAGCACAGATAGCAATACTTTCAACGAAACTGCACACTTCGTCCACATTCCATGAATTAATTTCATCAATTTTCATTTGACATTTTCGCGCTGGCTGAGCGCCCGTTTGTTCACTGTTATTACTCGTTGTGCTACTGCTGCTTGACGTACTAAAGCCTGAAGTTGTCAGTTGATTATTTGTGGTTGTGACATTGGGCGACGTTGCTTGTTGTTGTCGTTGTGTTTCTGTCGATGTAGGTGATAATTTAATTCGTTTTGCAAGCGGAGGTGTTCCTGAAGAACTGAGATCCAGTGGCGAAACACCCATCGCAGTTTCACCCGTTGGACTTTTATAAGGACTTGTGGCTGTAAGTGGAGGAGCAGGAGGGGATCGTGTTGATAATTGATGAAGTGCTTGAAGATTTGTAAGAGCGGGGAAGGGATTAAAATTATTAAAGCTTGGCATTTGTGTCGATGTTGATGGAAAGTCATTAAGATTAGGAAGCTTTCGAGTCTTTTCGCTTCCTTTAATCAACTTTTGCATTTCAGCCTCTTGTGCTGCTCGTGCCTATTACAATGTAAGAAAAAAAATGTAACAATGTTGCGTATTGAAAGAAATAAATTGAAGTTTCATGTAAAGAATTTCTTACCAACAATACCAATGCCCTTGTACTGCCCATATCAAGCATTGGATTAAAAATACTATTCTGATTAAATTGCAGACTCGAAAAGAGCGACGTTAATAAATTTGGATTTGGTGTAATCTAACGAGATGAGACGAAGAATGCTTTTGTTTATCAAGTATCTAAACGTTAGGAATTTTTTTATTAAACACTTACCTGCGGGGGCGAACTTGGCATCTTATCCACTGATGATGACGTCTCACGAATCGGCTTTACTCTTGAGTCGATAAATGATGGTTTGGGCGTTGGTAAACTGTAAGAAAATAAAGTCAAATTCATGTCAATATTTTCATAGCGGAAAGTCTTTCACTGACAAAGCCTTGAAGATTTTTCGCTTCCTATTGAAAAATGTTAATTAACTTACTCATTCGAACTGTTGTATTTGGCAGCAAGTGTTCTCATCATCTCTGAATAATTAAGTGGTGGCCCGGGAAGCTCCATTGATCTTTGACTACCTGAATTATTTCCATTATTTCCAAGATGCTGTGATGCCGATAAAATTGAATTGATATTTGGATTGTTCATCAGATTATTTGGTTGAGCAGATTGCGGCGGAGTGCCAGTGTGCGAATGCGGTGTCACACTTCGAGATCTACAAGAGACAAAAAAAAACAATTCCATAATTTATTCAAGCTCAAAAATGATCTTCATTTGTCAAATCAAATCGCAAGAGAAGGTTCATCGAAGCTGCTTAAAATCGCGTTTAAATATCAAGGTCGTGAAATTAGTTAAGAGCAACAACAGCAGCAGTAACACTAACAGCATTTCTGATTTACGATGAACATTCGCTTGAAGATTTTAAGCTTAGAAATGATGAAAAAAAATTTACGTTCATTCGAAAGGCAAAACAGATCGCTGGTAAATTGAAATTAACGACTGTGTTGCCGGATACCAATTAAATGGTAAAAGAAGAAGAAAAAAAAAGTCGTCCATTAATCGTTTAAAAGCTTATCAAGTCGAGCGTGAAGAGGAGCGCGAAGAAAGCAAGAAACCATAAGTCGCCGTCGAGCTTGAACGAAGTTTCATGAGAAAAATGAAAAACACGAAAGCGCGTTTTTCTACGATTTGCTTCGGTAGCTTGAATTGATTTGATGCTTTATGAGCATTGATTGGGAGTAAAAGAAAAGTGTTGTTGAGATGATAAAGCGCCGGTAGAGATCCGCGTGAACAACGAAAGACTTAAATGATTGTACAGTTAAGAACCGTAGCGAAAATCATTCTTGAAAGTCGCATGGGAAAACGGAAGAGAGAATTTTCCAGAAATAAAGTTTCAATTATGTAATTTGAAAAGCCTTTTCTCTTCAACTCTTACCTATACATCGATAATTCACTCATTGGTGGGCTGAGTCGTTCCGTTTTTACGGTGTTTCCAGCTCCATTTGTTTTATTGCCATTATTAGTTCCGTTGCTTAAACACTTGCTCAATGTTATTTGACTCAACTTTTGAGCACTTGATGGTGATAATTGACCATTTTTAATGACATTCATATTGTTATCGGAATATTTAAGTTTTTCGGCGTTAAAAAAATTATTTGTCGCACTTTGATGGTGATTGCTGCTAATCACTAGATTTCCATTATAACTATTACTATTATTATTAATATTATTGTTATTATTATTGTTGTTACTATTGTTGTTGTTGTTGCTGACTTGCAATAACTTTTTGCTACTCTCAACAATTAGCTTATTGCGCTCGTTGAGCATTTTATCAACGGAATATTGGAGCGTGTTGTGAATGGGCTTTCTTTTGGCTCGCGCGTTTTTGAGATTTTCACTGTTACTCAAATTACCGTTGGCCGATGCCGTCGGTGATATTTGTAATGATGGTGATGAGGCAGTTTGTGGCGATGAATCTGACGTTATTTCACCTGCAAAAATATAATAGAAATGGAAGAAACTTGTTAGAGTAATTTTTTTTATTATTATTATTATTTCATTCAATTTTTGATTAAAAATTAAAGCTTTCTGCACCGGTTTTAGGTGAAGTGACCAATTAGAATCATCATCTTAAATGAAAACTAACTTAACGGAAGCAGCACAAGTCATCTTTCATATCTTCTACCTACCAAGAAAATTATTTAAAAAATGTTTTCAATCTCTTTGCTCGCGGGAATTCAATTTGTTTAAGCTGATGAAACAATAGATTTTAGTTTTGACTTAATGAATGGTAATCAACATAATTTCAAACTGAGAAGAGTTGACGAAGATATGGAGTAATGTAATACGGTGATTCGTTCTATCTAACTTACTAAGAAGACTTTGAAAGACTCGACAAATATAATTTTCATAGATTACTAAACCACAAAAATAGTTTGAGACTTTGAAAACACGAGAATTTCGATGTCATTCCGAGGTAAAGATGAGGTTTCATTGAGGTTACCGCAAGAAAATATAACGAACGAAAGCAAACATGGATCGTAGCAATGCAATTTGCATTCCACACCTCGCCTTTGTGTGTGCACTTAAATTATTCGTTGAGCTTTACAATCATTGTGCAATGTGTTTTCTTCCCCTGAGTAAGATCAACGCAAATGTTAAAAGATCGCAACCTGAGGCGCAGCGACAAAGTCACACATGTTAATTTATGTATGATTTTATTTCATGTCGAAGCAGGCGAAGCAATAAAATTCAATGACAACATTATTCTGCTAGTTAGAACATTTTATGTGTGGCTGAATGCTTTGTAGGTGTACAATTTGTTGCATTAAATTTCAAATATGCAAAAGTTTATGTAAGTTCGACACTTGGCAAAAATTACATTTTTATGCCAAGCAAAAGCAACACGACACGTCGCTTTTCGCCAGCCAAAAAGGTGACGTGATCCATTGATCCATAAAAAGTTCAACCTCTTTTAGCATTCGACGGTCGTTGCTTGATGGATTTACGACTACAGGAAAGGCATCATTCGATGCGAAATGAAGTCTTTCTTTAACAACTTGATGTCAGTTTTTATGCGACTGCATAATTCATTGCATCGCTTCAACAATTGGTTACTCGTCGTTCGACTTCAACAACTAACTTATCGAGATAATTTACCGCTAAACTCTTCGTCACTTCATAAAAAAAATACTTGCGTTGCTGTCAAATGTGCGAGTTTGGATTAAGTTTAATTGAAAAATAATCGCACGTAAAAAGTCGCTAAAGACTCACTGTGCATAACAATCGCCTTCGATTGTGACGATGAAACAAGAGGTGATCGTAAAAAAAAAACTTTAATTCAACGCCCAGAAATACAAAAACCACAAAAACCCGATGAAGCTTCCTGTCTTGTGAGCTTCAAACAACTCTCTCAGTCGGTGGCACATTTTTTGCAATTTTTTGTTTTTCTCTTCACATCTACCTACTTGAAAATGTAAACTTTTTAAACAAAGTTGCAATTGTTATTTCGTTGACTGTCTTGAGTTTGTCAAGAGTGTTTTTAATAAATTTTTTTTATTGTCGTTTAATGAACTTTTTCAACCACGAACTTTTCAAGTTTCTATCATCAATTTTCAACCGCTTCATGAGCTTGTTTCTTGCGTTGAGGTTTAAACTCGCTACCGTCACTCAACCAGCGATATTTCTTGAGGGAGAACTTTCCAAATGCCAAAGCATTCCTCAATGCCAATAACTACTAATCATCGGACTAATCAATTTGAGGAATCTCACTTTTAACGGACATTTAAACAACATGATGGAGAAGAAACTTCAATTGTTCTGTTGTTGTTGTCTTCGAGAGTGAAGCGAGAATTCGTTGTGCCGTATGCAGAGTGCTTCTGGAAACAAGACGAGTTTCCTGACGATAATATAATAATTGTTATTCACTATCAACTGAGTGTAATCTTTTAACAAAGTATTTATTAATTCTTTTTATTATTTCTCCTTCTCTCTCGTTCTATTCATTGGCGCGTTATTCAATGATGTTTGATATTTTACTTTGCTGCTGTCTTATTTATATTTATCATCTTTCTCTCTCGCTTTTTCATATTTTTATTTATTATCTCTTCTTTACCTTGTTGTTTTCACTGGGTGATCGCAAAGAGTCTTTCTTACTTTTTTCTTTCTTTATTTTGTTGTTTTTTTTTCTTTTTTCAAAAACAGTTGATTGGGTTTCTCTGTGCTGCTTTATAGCTTCTGGGTTAAATGTAAACGTAATAATAATAATAATGATTATCAGAAATGTTTTTCTTTTCCTTTTCATCTACACAACAATTGAACGTAAGAAGGAGAGAAATTACCATTTATCGACCTGTGCAACATTCGGTGAGTGCGTCAAAAGCACAATTTTATGTTGTATAATGGGAAGCATTTAAATGGCATTCGGGATTAAATATGAAAAGCGTTCACTTCATTATTAAACGAAAAGATCAACAACAGTAACAGCTTTGATTGAATGTCTTACTATGCGCGATTCATTTCACTCACAATTGTTGACTTTAACATTCAAAATAGCTTTAAGACATTTACTTCAATTTTTCATCATCATCATCCGCCCGCCCGTCTATCAAAAAAAAAACGAAAGAAAAATGTTGAAAAACATTCCATTTTAATTGACCAGCAAACGTCGCTTTTTTTACTAGAATTCAATGTCACCGATGCTGCCACACACATCAACATCATCATCATCGATCGTGATCTCCATTTTCAAGTTAAACTAAAACTTAAATTGAATTTGGATGAAAGATGAAACATTTTCTTTGCTTTGATGATGTTTGACTTTTAAACCGGTGAATGTGAATGAGATGAGTTAAAAAAGAAGGCAGCAAAAAAAAAATGTCGATTATTGTTGGAAAGGAAATGATACAGAAAAATTTGAATAAATTTGTAATTTATGAACCGAAAAAACAGGTTGACATCGGCATTAACAGAGCTTCTTCTCATAATAAATACCTACATAAGAGAACAGAAAACAACGAAAAAATGAAGACAGTGGAGATGACTTAACGTCGTAGGAGCATTGAGATCTAATTTATCATCAACATTTTATCAATAGCTTCATTGTGTATGTATAGCAAAAGGAAACGAGAAGCTTCATATCAGAATTTTTGTTCAGCTTTGACCTTTTCGTTCATAACTTGATTCGCTTCTTTGACCACATATACGTAAGATCAACATCATCTCAATCGCAATAAGAAAACAGAAAAAAAAATAATAAAAATAAACGAAGATTGAGAGCACAGACGGAGCTCGCAAAAGTCAAGAACAGGGTCGTTTTCTCTTCATTATCGATCGTTGTCAGTTCACCTGACGATGCCCCTGTCGCTAAATATCCAACATTTCCAGTTCAATCAGATTCTTGACGGTTGAGTTTTTATCTTGTATTTTCCTTCTCTTTATTTAATTTTTTTTTCGTGTGTGATCTCCGCACACTGGATTGTTTCAGGTTGACTTTTATTTATAACATCGAACTCGATGTCGTTGTGAACTTGTCGTTTTTTCTTCTTAACGATATTTTTATTATAATTTTCTCCCGTTCTTGATCTTTTTTTTCTTCTTATTTTGTTGTTGTTTTTGTTTTAATAAAGTTGAAACATGAATGATATTGAATTGGAGCCTGATTCTTAACTTGTTCCCACGCATGACTTTTGTTTCTCTCCTTCATTCAAGTATGATAATAAATAAAAGTTATTTCTCTATTTTGTCCTGGTTGCTCAGCGTTTCACGACAGATTTAATGTGATTGTCAATCAATTTATTCAAATATTCAGTCGCTTCGGGATGCGCATAGTGAGGTAGAAAAAGAATAAAATATTTATAGAATTAGTCGAGTTTTGTGTCCACATTTTTTCGCGATTCTCCATGATCCAATCAGTTTAGAGATGGAAGAAAAACTTTACAAGTTATTAAGCCATTTGAATTGTCATTATGTCAATGCTTTCCGTTGCACGTCTGATGCTTTCGTCTTTTAATTAAATCATGAAAATTTATCTGCCTCGTTATGATGAAACTTTTTATCACGATCATGACAGTTAAACTCTCATGAAAGTTTCTTCATATTACGAAAAGTTGAAAAATGCCAAAAGAGAACATCAAGCGAGGCAATCACCTTGACATTTTTCAAATTGGAGCATCATTAGTTAGCAACTCTTTTGAGCGCCACGTCGAAAAGCCGCGCGCATATCGTATTCAAAAATTAAAAAATTTAAAGATATAAAATATTTTTATCATGTTCTCCTTTGAATCACTTAAAAATGTCCAATAAGAGCGATTTTAAACTCGTTTAAAACATCCCAAACCAAAGTTCAAAAACAAAGATCTTATTAGCATAATGTGTATCAATTTTATCGCTTGATCTTTTTTTTTTACTACCTAAATGACTTTACCAATACAAATCCTCATTTTCAAAATTCTTAATGTAAGTGAAAAGAATTCTTTGACTTCGTGTTGGAATGCGAAAAAAGCAATTTCAAAAAGCGTTTAAAGAGAGTAAGTTGGCAAGGGACGCGACTCTTTACTCAACGCATTAAGCTTGAAACGACTTTATCATTTGAATAAATATTTGCATTTGTTTTCCATTTCTATGTCATTTTCACTCGCAATGAGATGACTTTGAGTTGTTTGGTTTGAACTCTTGACTGAATTGAGCTTATAGTTGTGTCTTGCGACTGTTTTTCATTTCATTCTCTTTTATTATGTTCCTGGTAATTGTCGTGATCATGTTGCACTAAATATCTAAATAAAGAAATAAAGAAGTAAAATTTCCATAAATTTCAAATGAAATTTGTAGATAAAACGGCAGCGAATTGCCAACAATTATGAATTCATAAAATCCATTCTTAACGTCAAACAAGCGAGGAAATATTGATAATAATCCGTTGAATTTATTGCTTCACTAATTGCTGAGATTTCATAGAAAATTCGCATTTCGCATTTTATAATTGATGATCATCAATAATTTTAAAAGCCTTTCATGATGAAACGAAACGAAAACATTTGCTGGGAAGAAGGAAGAAGAGAAATTATGTTGATATTCTAACTCAATGTTATCTGCTATAAAATATTAATGTTTGAAAGAAATAAAAACTTTTGTGGCGTGAGATTGAAAGGTCAAAACCTCCAACTTTTAAACTCTTTTTTTCTGAACATCATCAGAGTGAGTGAGTGAATAACACAACAAGATTCAAGAAACAACAAAATTAAATTTACATGAGTCAAATTTCAAAGTATAAAAAGTCAACCGCGTCGTGGAAAAGGTGAGAATAACAATGGGTTGCGCAAAAAAAAAAGGTGAAAAGCAATAAAATGAAAATAAAAAAAACTTTTCGACGGAAGACAAAAAACAAAAATAGCGGAATAAGCTTATTCAAGAATGGTGGAGAGTCTCCAGTTGAGTTTGTCGAGAGTACTGTTTAACTACAAGGCGCGGTTCCGAAATGTCAATTAGCATGTACACACATAAAGCTTGTTTAATGGCAATAAAATAAGGTGATGAGTGATTAAAAAATTACTTTTATGAGTTGATGCAGGGCTGATAAATATTTGTTGCTTGAAGGTGAAACATAAGAAGTTTCTCCAAGATAAGATATAATTTTCAATGTAAAAAACTTCTTACATATCACGTCGTTCCGTTACAAAACCTGTCAAGAAGCACTGTCAAGTGTCATCAACTTACAAGGAAATGAAATGAAAAAACTTTTGAAATAATAATCTGAAGACAAAGTTCATTGAACAGGTGAAATGGCATAAGAAAATTAAAAGCGACGACAATGTCATTAAATTGCATCAACCTGTCTTTGTATTGCAAAACTAAAGTCGAAAAGCGACAAAATGCAATCGATAAATGAAGAATAAGAATGCAAACAACAGAATTTTGTTGAGTTTCGCTCTTTTTTTTGCGATTCATCCGCGCACTTTAATAAAATCGTTTGCATATTTTTACAATCGTAAATTCTTAAGCTAAATGACTTCATTGCTAAGTTTACCGCAGAAGAATGAGAATAAAAGACTGTGGCTGATGCGCTGTTGATGCCGTTTAAAAAATAGAGGAGAATGTGATCTAATTCATTAATGTGTTGGCAGATTCGTGGTCGTTACTGAAATATCAAACATAACACTATGCAAATGATTTTTTGATATCATGCTTCAGACAAATTTCAAACCAGATCTGACACATTTCGAGGTAATTTAATGCTGAATTATTATTATTTATATTTTTTCTGAAAAGGCCATCATTTATTCAAATTTCTCGTTGTTGACTCGTTGATATCATGCCGAATCAAGCGATATAGGATTTGAGACATTTCATTTTATAGAGTTTTGTTTTTTCTTGGTTCATCTTCATTCAATTTAAATATTTAATTCAAGCAATTCCTTTTAAGGTTATCGCTATGATGGAGACTATCATCGTGATATATATCAGCGCGTTTTGATCGCCTTTAAATATGAAAAAAATGTTAAAAAGCGATTTTAGCTTATTCAAATTAAGTGTTGCTTTCCATGTCAATTTAATAACTGTTCTTTAAAGCTTATTTGAGTTTACTCTTTTCTCATCATCTCATAAACTGATAACGAAAATTGTTGAGTATTTATCGTCACCCTGCACTCACCTTTAACAAATTGCCACATTATTACTGTTCTGTCTCTTTTTTTTATCACCCAGATATTTTTATCGTTTCAAACACATAGCGAACAGAAATGTCAACCACAATCTGAACATTGAAGAGTTTTTATTGTTGTTATTATTATTTTTTTAACTCTTTTTTTAATTCGCAATTGTGTGAGTTGAAGAGTCGAGTTAGATGACAAATTGATGTTGATACGAAAATTAATATTCATAATTTCTGCCAATGCTGTTTTTTATTGTTGATTAAATGATAAATAATTTAATAGCAATTGTTCAAACAGTTCTTAGACTTTAATAGATATCGTGAAAATGATAAGATGAGAGTGTTTTAATGTATAAAAAGAAATAAAAACAGAAAATTAGGGCACGCTCTTATCATTGAAACCGTTTTTCATTTTATTTCTATACGAATGTAGACTTAACTCAGCTCTTCAAATAACAATTTAAACTACAGAGATGGCAATCGATTCCACCATGTGACACCTTAAAAGGTTGTCGCAGTTATCAACGAAGAGACGACGATAAGAAAAATTTTTATGTCACCTCGTCGTGGCAGCTGATAACTTGTCAACTTACAACCGAAATATTTTTTTATTTCTTTTATTTTAATATCACATCAGTCGCCAATTCGTACGTTAAATTAGTGTCACATCGCTTGGACGTTTTTATGACTTTATTAGAGCGTTGCGTGGTTGGAAAATATGATTTATGATATTGATATTTCAAGGGATTATTAATCGTGATCGAATTCAATTTAAAGTCTTTTTTTACGTCGGACTTTCTTCAGAAAATTTGTTTGTGAGAAAATGAAAAATTCGCTTGATCATGTCGTCTTCAAATATTCGAATATAAATTAATTACTGCTTGTTTCATTACGTTAATCTTTAGGAAAATATTTGGATTTTATCGTCTTGAATCTTTAATGAATCACAAGTCAAAACATTTTTTCAACGGGATAAGCTTCAAAGAAAAACGAAACAAAAAAAAAGAATATAAAAGTTAATCATGAGCTTAGCGAAACAATAAAATTGAGAAATAAATTGATGCTGGAAAACATGAACTAAATGCCAACAATTTGTTGATGATCGTCTCGCAATTTGTGTCACTCACGAACAGTCATAAAATGTAAGGGAATGTTTGATTTCTTATGCTATTGTAAAGTTAATAAAATTTACTCTCGTATTGCATAGGCGCGGATAAAATCATCTTAATTCATTTTCCTTGTATTATGTAAATGAAGTCACAAAAGATGTTTCCATATTAAAGTTGACAGATTATGTCATTTGTCGCATGACATTTAATAAAAATTGGATCGAATTTTTCGTATGGAACCGAGAAGTGTTTTGAGAAAACATAAAACAAATTTTTTGGCTTCAAACTTTGTTTCTTTTTCTAACGTATTAGCCAGCCACATGCGGTCATCAAAATGGCAAATTGGCAGTGACAGTAGCAATATGATTGAGTTCACTTTTTCGAGGTTCGTACTCGTTCACTGTCATCAACTTCATTTCGAACGGTTTTGACGCTTAGTTATGCGTTTCGCTGACACATTTACAATTTAATTTTATAACACAATGTAGAAGACGATCGTAAATTAGATGACCCTTACGTGGACGGGCACTTCATTTAGCTTCACAGTCGAGTGGCCAAAGTACAGGTGAATACAATCGACTAAGAAAATGTTTTGACCTCATAAATTCCACAGTAGAATTTTAAATATTTCCATACGAACAACAAGTGCAAACTCAATCAGAAAATGTCGCTCATTTCAACGAAAATTTTCTCTTGTTCATGCCTTTTGATTTTATAAATAAAATCATTTTACAACAGAAAAAAAAAGAGCGACGACGAGTCGAAAGAATTTGACCCTCTTTCTTGGAACCTTTCCAACGGAGGAAACAACAAAACAACAACGAGAAGAAGAAAATTAAGAAATAAAAATAAATGAGAAGAAAGAACATTGAATTAGTTTTTTAAAAAGGTTGCGATGTGACGAACGACGGTCGAAGGTAAGAGATGAGATAGGAGAAAAATGTTTTTGAATGACCCTTCAACCATTCAAGGTGCCCTTTTTTCATCTTAATTCTTCGATGGCCTATCGAACATTCTTAACAATAGCACGACTTTCAATGACAAAAACTCTACCTGAACTTAGACTCTACGAACACAGACAAGCTTCATTCAACAGACATCTTGCAAGGTTTTGCTCTCTTTCACCCTTCGGTTCGTGACATAAGCGACGTACAAAGTGCAACTGAGAAACTTGAATAACCGAAACATAAAAATAAGAAGAATGAATTGGATGGAATCAACATGAAAATGAAAACGTTGTTATGCTTCTTTTACTTAAACATTTATTTACTTACTTTTGATTCAAAAGCGAAAAAAATCTTTAATCAAAATTTATAAACAAACAATAAATTAAGCTTCGCTTGCTTGCCTCCAGTGACATGCATGGAATGTGATTTAAGTCGAGACATTTGACTTGCGCAGCTTATTGCACAATGCTGCTTGATTTTCTAGCATTCAGGTGTGTGTGGAATTAATTTATTATTTGCTAGCCACGTAAATAGTTAATGTGATTCTATTTTAATTTGAAATTCTATAAGTTAAGACGATTACTGGTGACAATCGATTTATGCATGGAAATTGAAGAATTCATCATAAATTAGCAAATGAAAGTTGTTTCGTGATCATCATTTATTCAGGTTAATTATTTAATGATTCAACAAAGAAGATCTTGATTTATGATCTTAACAAAATCGGTTGACGTGAAGGCAAAAAAAAATCAAAAGAGAAACATTAAGAGTAAAGTTGACTCAAATTTAAAAGTCATCTTGTAATAATATTCAAAATTTTCTTTTTTTAAATAAAAGGTTGTGATAATTTTTTCTGCTCAACACGATATGACAAATTAGCTAACGAAATAAATTTCTGAAAGCTCTGCGGATTTATAATTAGACAATCAACGACAAAAGCGAAAAATTTTTGAACGATAAATCAAAGATTTTCAAAACAAAAAAAAATTATTTGACATTCCACTCGCTTAAATCGTATGAATATTTGATTGACCTGAACTTACTGAGGCTTGATTGAACTTTCGTTATAAAAAGGCCAAGTCAACACCAACAACATGAGACCATCTGTCTTTATTCAGTAGCACTTGATTGTGTGCTTCTTGTTCCCCATCAATTTCATTTCTTTCTTCTCTTCTTTCAGTAAGATGGAAATAATAGAAGTAGGAAGCTAAGTAACTTCAATGAAAACTAGCGACGATACTCGTGATTTACCAGCCCAACTTAAACTCAAATCTTAACCAGTGTTTTTATGTAAAAGTAAACACTTTTTAAATTAATTTATTTCCTCTTCTCCACCCGACTTTAGTCAAAAAAAAATAATTTTCAACAATCACTCGAAACAACAGTCGGTTCCGAAGCGAAATAAGAAAACAATTTTTTCTGCCTCTTCTTTTTTTTTCTTTCATTGAAGAGAAGGTGAAAGACAACCTGTTGAGTTGGAAAATCTTCAACCAAAAAAAGAAATAAAAATTGTTTCATCTTCATAGATAGAATTACATCTGAGTAAAGTGTTCAACGGGCAACATTCAAAGTTCAATGATCATCAACTAACTTTTTATCTTTTCCAATTTATATTTGTGTGAAATTTCATTTTGGATTTCAAATTCTTTTCAACTGACACGGGAGTTGAATCTGCTGGCGATCTGCTTTTTTTTTTCATGAAATTTGGAAGAAAAAATGAAAAGCTAAGGAAGAGAAAGAAATGAAATTTCATTGTTAATCGATTAACGGGGATTTTTTGTCTTCTTTTTCATTTTTATTGGAGAGTGGAAGTTGAACTGTGAATCGATATTCATTGAAGTGAAGAAGCTTTGTGCAATTAACATTCTTTATATTCTCATCTGTCGATCACAAATTCGTTTCAACCAGAAGTAAAATACCATTAGGTGGCTAAAAAATTCAGCAGCAAAAAAGGGTCAGCAGATGACATTTGAGGAGTAAGAAAACAAAGAAAAACGCGACCTTTTCCGTTCATCATATTCCATTACGCATTGTTAAATTAAATTACTGTAAAACAAACACGTCGTTGACATTTCGTAAATATCTAGTCTTGACAGAAAATCATTTCGCAAATATAAAACAGTCGCAACGTTTCGTTTTGTTTTGCTTTTAATGCCGATATTCCAAATGCAGAAGATTGTCAGTTAAATCGATTAAATCGCATACATACAACGAGAGGTAAATAAGGAAAAATAAAAGAATTGCTAAACTATGTGATATGAATAATTCAATCATAGTTTATGACTTTTGTGTCTCTCATTTCTATCCAAGAATTGGAAGTCTTTGGAATTTGCTGACGATGAGCAAAAAGGATGTCAAAGCATCACACACGACGCTAACAATCATAAAAAGCTATTAAGCTTGATATATGGGATTATATTTGGAATTTTTAGAAATTATATAATTTGTGATACCGATAAATTAGAAGCTTGATTCAAGGCGATCATATAAGCGAACTGATTCAGGTGAGAAACTTGGGCTTGGTCAATAATCGAGTGAATTCTTCCTCTTGACAAATCTTATGAATAATTCAGAATAACAACAGATTGTGCTCATTCAATCAATTAAATGTTGCACGAACAAACACACACACAGAAATGTTATCGTCCGTCCCAACAGCTTCTCAGAACCCACAAACAAAGGAGATCACCCGAAGATCTAACTAGCTATCAAAATATTTATAAACAACGATGATCAAAAAGTGGGACGTTCTTAATTAAAGCGACGACTCTCGTGTGTGTTTGATTTACTAGAGAAAATGACCTTTCGCGATGAAAGCAAAGAATTAATTATTTCGTTCCTAAATAAATTGAAGCGAAACCTAAACTGAACAAAAATAAAAATTGAATCGTGACTCTCGTCCCCACCATTTGAACGTTACATTCTTCAACCTGACCGCGTGATTTGTTAAACTTCGAAATCAATTTACAACAACTTATGAAAAAAAAATAAAAACAGATTTAAGATCATATATTTGTGGAGATATTTTCACCTGACCACGACCGATGATGGTAAACGAAAGAAGCTTAAACTCTCATTCGATTCATGATGATAACCAAAACGACTCCAATGAAATTATGTAAATTTCCTGGTTCGCTTTTTTTTATCTCCGTGAAGTTGAAGAAGAAAAAAAAAACTAAAATTAATTCAAATCAAAAATGAGCTTCTCGCATATTAATTTCGATGGTAAAAAATTGTATCATTAAATTAGCGGACAGAAGAATAAATTTTGTGATTTTAATTGCCGAAACGCTTTTTTTCTCAAGAGTTCACATAACATTCGATGGAAAATGTTGACATGGATAAGTTGATGTTAATTTCGAGAAAAATTTCCATCCAGATATCTGAACGTTGTTAATCATCAAGTTCAATATTATTTTTCGAAATAGTTTTCTGATCGTTACAAAAGAAAATTTACAACACATCACTTTAGTCATCAATTTAATTCGTTTAAGGTCATCAAAACGGTTCGGTTTATGAATAAATGTAACTTTTGATATGTGTGTGTTTGTTTGTTTGCAGTCGCGATCGAGTTTTACTCTCGTCGTAATTTTTCATTTCTCGTTCGCCTCCAACATTTTGTGATAAATATTCATACATGGAACAATATTCTACACAATAACGCTATCGTTGTTGCTTCTCAGAGAGCGATTTTATTTTTTTCTTGTGTAAATATTTTGATATGTGATGATAAATTAGAACGAATTGTTAGTATTCGAAATGTGTTATCGCTTAGTAAGTGACGACGATGATGATGATGGCATGAATTAACTTCCAACTTTTATCAATTGACATTTTGCCACTACATGCACATATCTATAAATTCATTTAATTGTCGCTTTGTTGTTGTCAAATCGTTTGCTTTTACTTCACATTCTTTTTCCATTTTTTTTAATGGAATTTGCACAAAATATTTATTACGTTAAGTAAAATTCAGTTCGTGATAATTCGCATTTTAATTAGATTTTAATTCTTTTCAATTAATGAGTACTCAGATCGTAACAGTCATCACAAAATCCACTTTTTACGGCCATTACAATTCAAGTATGCAGCTAAGGAAACGAGTTTTCACATTTCGACTTTAATATGACTTTATTCACCCTCTCAACCTGTTGCACCATTAATGGACACTTTATCTTTTATTATTATAACTTTATTAACGTTCTTGTACCAATTTGGTGTATGTAAAACGAATCAAACACGGCAGCTTTCGTCATCGTGCCATGTTTTTGATCTTCCACAAACGTTCAACCAACTTCATCGCTTTATAAATATTCGACATTCATTTGAGTCCGTAAACCTCGTTAAACACTCGTCGTGTAAATTAAATTGCACACTATTAATTATATGACTTATTATTGTGAATATTTTTGCATTGAAAACATAATTTTGTTTTGAATTATGGTGTCATCAACGATAACAATGCAACGTCTTTGACTTTTAACTTTATTTCATTCATGTCTTTCATGTCAAAACGTATTTGAAGTATCATCAGTTAGAAGAAATCAAATTGAATTGACCTCGCATCGAACGCACACAAATCGTTTCAATTTAAAATCTTCAACCGAAGTTTTAAAATTGGAACTCATTCTTTATATTGCCCAATAAAGTCGGATGATATCTTAATAAGAATTCCGTTTCCAACATGTTTAAAGTTTAAACTTAAAGGTAAATGAAGAAAGAGACAGTTGAGAAAACAAATAAAAGAAACATTCAACCTCTCGAAACTTTTCTTATTCATCTGCGATAGTATTGAGTACCAAAAATTCTTCAGTAGTGGAACATTTTTTTTTTCTTTCAGCCTCTTTGGACGACAAGTGCGAAAACAAAAAAAAAATTGTCAAGTTCAATGAAACTTTTAAGCAAGTTGCTTTAACCTTTCTTTAAAAAATTCTTTTTTCTTTCTTCTCCGCCACTCACTTGTCGCTTATTTAGTGGAAATGTTTTCTTGCAACTTCTCTGACATCTTAATTCCGTTTCAAAATGATATGATGATGACGAGATCTTTAAAATCATCAACACAAAAGACGGTCGCGATATTTATGATCGAACCTCAATAAAAATGAGATTCTTTTTTTTTATGGAAGAAGCAAACGATCAGCAAGAATTCTTTCCGTCTCTCTCTTTCATGTATGGATTTCATAAAATATGTCGCACCATTAAAAAGTCAAATATTATCTCAAAATGTTGGAATATCCAAAAGTCGTAAAATAAGCGTTTCATTGGATCGACCTGAGAACGTGTCGGTCTTACTTATGGGAATGTCAGAATCGCCGTCAAGAAGATGGCTAAAGACAACATCAGTAAACATTCTTTTCATAAGCCCATCACCGCCGTCATGTCGATGTTGATAAACGTCGAAATGCTATAAAGGCTGTTAAAAATCTTCAGCAAACAGTCATCGAGAATAAGTTGAAATGGCAGGTGAATCTTGACAAATTCTCACTGCATGGACGACAACGTGCAAGTTAAATTAAATTCAAGTATTAGAGTTTTATGAGTTAAGTAAATGCATTTTTTATGATACGAAAATAAATAAGAAATTAAAATCAAACGAAACTCGAGGTCATAATCTGATCAAAGTCCACCTTTGTCGTCAATACAGCTTGCATACTAATTAAACTCTTACTCGACATTGTCAAACTTTTAGTTGTTTTCAACTCTTCTTCTTTCATCTTTCGTTCAACTTCCCAAATTGTACTGCGAAAAAAGAACTCAACAAGAGAAACAAAAAAATGTGTGGAAATTAATTCATTAAAAAATTACTTTCCGCGATTTCATTGAGTGAAAGAACAGATTTCATGAATTAAAAGGAATTTTCATTAAGCGAAGCGAGCGCACAAAATGATTATCGTGTGAATCAAATGACCGACACGGATTTTTTTGGAATTTTAGTTAATGTAATTTTTTTGGAGAAGATCTTCTCGAAAAGTGCTTTAATTTCTGTTTTGATATAAAAAGATTATAAAACAGAACAGAAAAATGTTCTTTAAACTCACACAAATGAACTCACATTGTCGTGGGTTAAGTTGAGTAATGAAATTAAAAAGATTTTGTTGCGCAACTTTAAGTGATTCTTTTGCTAACTAAGCTTGGGAATTTATGAGTTTCTTTTTTTGTTGTTGAGTTTTATTCATTCTTGCAGTCACCTTTTCTCATCGACAATCGGTTAGTTCATGAAAATATTCACCAAAATAAGCAGCGACATTGTTTGTAACTGACAAGTCGATCATCATAAGAGTTGACTTCGAAGACGAAGTAGAGAATGAGAGAATTTCAAATAAAAAATGTATATTTGTAACATTGCGATGATGAGACATCAACTGAATCAATAATTAACACAAACCCATTCGCCACACGAAACCAAATTCGAAACTGTAATCTGTCCAAGGCTTTTGTGCTTCAGTAGAATGAAATGTTGGTTTCTTTATTCTCTTCTCATGCTTAATAGTCTTCACGTCGATCGCGTCTGATCGTAAATGGTCTGCGGGGCAGTAGCGCTTGTTTAGAGAGCCTTAATAAGCAGAACCTTGCCTTTATCACAACAACTCCCATCATTGGGAGGCATTCGAGTCCCCCACACATGGTGCAACAAGCGCATAAATCAGCATGCTATAATTAACCATTTAAATTCTAATAAAACGACTTCGAGTATCAGTGATGGGAGGGGGAGAAAAAGGAAGAATCAGAGACTGGGAATTAATTTGTAATCAATTTTATTTCATCGCTGAATGTTTCTTCTTAAAAACTTCACTTTACTGTTCTGTGCCCATTTTGAGCATTGAAATTATATTGTTTAATGTTTTAATTTGCCTCTCTTTGCAAGTATCCACCGCGTGTGTATATGCAAGAGCATAACATTTTGCATTTTGATCATTGTTTACAGATTAAAGTACAATGAGATTTTTAAAAAACGCCCACAACTATTTTCTGCTGCTTTTAATGGGACTGAAATAATATGAACTTTCATTGTTAAATAATGGTTAGTAGTGCTGATAAGCGTCCGAGAAAAGCAAGATTCATTCATGTTGTGTATCAAGTCGATGCCGTTTTTGGTGAAGTAATTTCCTGAACTTGAAGATACCGTCGCTTATGCCGCTAGCACATACTCGACTCGACCACACCGTGCCTACATATGGAGCATTTCTAGCTGCCATTTGACTCTTTGAGTATTTCCAAGACTCGTTGGAAAAACTCGTAACGCAACATTGGAAGCATTATATAGAAGAATTCTTCGAATATGTGAACATTTTTACATCTACACACATAATTTCAAGTTCATTCCTTTCTTTGAGATTCTCTTCGATGACTACTTAAAGCAACTTTGCCTGCTACAGTTTTTCTCGAATAGTTATCGAGCCTCATTTTGATTTATTGATTGCGGCTTCCAAGCTCCATTATGAAATTATAAAGAAAAGAAATGGTGAAGCGATTGAAATGAAAACGATGTTTGTTCAATTGCGATTCCACTGCTTAGCTTATACAACAGCACAGCGCCTCATTTGTTAACGGTCATCATCGCGTTCCGATCGGCGAAAGATGTGCAGAGCATAAAAGCAAGTTTCGTGATAATTACGAATCATTGATCTTTAACGTTAACCGTTTTTAAAGTGAAATAAAAATCATTTGGAATTCAACTTGAAGAGCAGCAGCGACAAACGAATTAATCAGGAAAGGTCCTTGTGGGTCGATCTTAACGAACGTACGTCATCGTCGTTTTGAAAATGCGCACATTTCTTTCATATCTCGCACCAGCACAAGCAAGACCTTTCCGACCTCGACTCCAACTCGACACAATCGATAAACCTTTGACATCAAAAACGATTTTTTTTTCTTAATTCTTTTTTTTTTTTTTTTGAATTTAATAAAACGGCAGTGAAGATGGAAAAATATGAAAATTCAATGAAGCTTGAAAGCGACTTGGCAAAAAAAAAGGTCGAATTGTGACCTTCGAGTTAAATTGATCGCCTACAGAAAGCTTTTTTAGGTTATCGTGCTTGTGTCGTTCTATGCAGTTCATGTGATCACGAGGGCGATCAATTGTAGAAATAAAAAAATGTCCGACGTCTCCGTGAATAAATTTTTTAATTTGTTTTGAAAATAGATAAATAATTAATAATTACAATGTTTAATGACATCTCGAAAGTTATATGTTAATATCTATATACAGTTAATACTTGATATCATTGATATAAACTGCATATGAACATCTTACAAGTGATCAAGTCACATCTTAAGAATATAAATCACGATATAAGATATCGCTCGTGCGCGTACACGGTTTCTGGTTCTTCCTTCTCCCCCTCATTTTGTCTCTCACCGTAATTTAAAACCGATTCTGTTAGCTGTAAAGTAATTTATTAATTTCATGCTTAACTATCGTTAATTAAACCATCGATACTCGATGTCGAGAATTCATAAATGTTATGAACTTTTGCATGCGCTTTAATGGAGGTTCAATTGCAAGTTGCAAGTTGTAAGTTGTAACAAACATTCTCGTACATAACGACCGCAAACATATATAAACGTTTATTAAAAGTGTAATTTGTGTTAATAAATTATTAATTAAATGTATTTTACGATCGCCGTGTGCGAGCCACAAACGGCACAAAAACCTTTCTCAATTTCTTGTATTTTATTCGATTGAAAGATGATTTGCTGCGATATTTCTTTTCTATCTTCTCTTCCTTTTGTTGTCCACAAACAACGTTTGTCTATTCATAACATGAGGCATAATAAAAATTATCACAAATTATTTCGCGCCATGCATTAGCAGAAGCTCAATTTACAAAGTTAAACGAAGCAACAAAGAAGACTTTTCAACTCTATTTTAGGTGGATAATAAATCGAGCTTCAAATGCTCTCAGACTTGAACCATTGTGTCAGTTTTCGAGTTAAAGATGCGCGACACCATAGCAAACAAGTCGAAACAAACGATAGGTGTGCGCGCCCACATAACAATGCCAATGTAATCGTAATCGTCGACCTCATCGTCGTTTGTCTATGTGACTATGTTGAACGTACTAACTCCAACTTTATAGAAACGTCTTCAAACGACAATTTCAGGGAATGTCAACTAAGTTCAATGCTTAGATTATAATTTTGACATTTTGCTAACCTTTTCAGCACTAAAATGTTGTGATTATTTTATTTATTTTTTTTTCTTGTGAGTGTGCGACGAGACTGACGAGAAAATTGAAATATTGCGAGTGAAAAAGTTCTGACATAAGTATAAAAATTATATTAATATAGTTAAAGTTGCATTACCTATATTTCATCTCTTTTTTTCTTTAGCCAACTAACTAACTAACAATTCATATGCGGGTGTCTCTCATTTCATTTTATTCAGGGAGTGAACCAACTAAAAAGGAGTTGGAGTTTGAGTATTGGAATTTATTTCATTCACAAAAGGCTTAAATCGTGTGTAAAGGTTAGAGAACATTATTTCAGAGTTTTGAGCTTGTGTGTCAGGCAACGCTAATTTAATTATCAAGAGTCGTAAGTCATGGCTGTAAAATCTTTTGCGACATAAGCAAATCGAGAAGTGAATATTTCAACGATAATGAAAGCAAAAAATGTTAAAGTTCAAACTTTAAATGAATAAAAATAAAAATTTATTATTTATTATTCTTTGTTAAATCGTGAGTCTAATATCCAGAAAGATTTAGACCAGGTTAAACTCGAAAATAACAAGAAATAGAACTAAATAAATAACAAATCTTTGAAACAACCTTGACTTCGACGGAAACCGCGAGATTATTAAAATTTTGCTGTTTGCCTCAAGTCACTCTTTTCATTATAAAAAAATTATTTAGATTTAGAAGTTTGTCAAAATAAATTCAAGATCGAGATGAATAATTCTTTTGAAATTTATAAACTATCCAAGAGATTGTTCTTAAGAAATGAAAATCAATACATCAACCTGACAACTAACACAAGATGACGTGTCAAAACATCGACATTTTAAACTTTTAAACTTATGCTTTACAGCTAACCTCGTCATTGCTCTCAGTGCACGTGACGCATTCAAATAAATTCCAAGACGAAGTAACAAAAATTCAAGAATGAATAAAAAAAGATTCAAAATAATAAACTCAAATTTTTATGAATGAAAAAACTTTTTTTTCTTCGTCTTTATTCTGTTTTCTCACTCTTTTCCCCGTACGCCGTTTCATGAATCGTTAAATTTGTAAAACAATATGACTATCCATTTCCGGTATTTGTAGAGTGTATTAAGTAGGTTCCCCATCGACGGCGCATTGTTTGCCTTCTTGTTATGAACATCTTATTGTCGTTGTTGGTTGGGCGGAGAAATATTTTTCTCCATCACCAAAACGGATGACATCGTAATGGGGGAATTAAGGTCAAAAGGTTCACGAAGGGAAATCAATAATCGATAGCAATAAGCACGATATCCCTTACCTGATTGATAACCCCAAGCTGGCCATACAACAGGAGTTTCAGTATCTAATTCCCTCATAACTTTCAACTCGATAATCTCGTTGTTGTTACTCTATAACGATGTGTCACTTATTAACACATTCACTCGACGTCGTCGTCACTTTAATTTGTGTCGCGGCTTTAAGTTGTAAGAGTCACCTCGTCGAAGGTATTTTTAACCTTTTTGTATTTTTATAAGAGTCGACTGTGTACACCAACACTTGAGAGTTCACAGGCGGAAAATTGTGGCAGCTTGCTTGACACAAAAAAAAACCTTATCGTGTTTCTTTCCAATAAAAATACTCAAAAGTTTTCTTTTTTTTTTGCCTTCGTCTCTTATCAGTACACAACAATGATGATGAATAAAAAAAATAAGTAAACTTAATTGCACTTAACAAATCACGTATTTCTTAATTACTTTTCTTGATTTTATGAAGACACAAGATTTTTAAATTTTATTTCCTTCTTTTTTTTGTTTGGCTTGTGAAAGAGTCCGAATGAAGTTCAGAGTTCAAAGTAATTTTTTCTTTATTTCATATCAAACACTGATGAATCGCTTCGTTGGTATCGTAAAGTATTAGCCACGACCTTTTCCTCTTTTTTCTAAAGGTATGTTTAGCAAATTAGCCGACAGTTTGGTGTTACAAACGATAGATGGTAATAAAGAAGCCGTGATTTTATAATTGTATATAATTTATATTTATTTTTTTTATTTAAACTTCTCTCTTTACTGACGAATTGTGTTGTTTGTAGTTTAAATTCTTTTACTTTTTTTTTAATTTGCGATTGTAAAATTCGCTTTTCTCTCTTCCTTTTGTTTGTGTTTTCAAATTCGTGATCTTTTAATTTCTGTCTTTTTTTTATATTTTGCGCGGGGTTCAAATCGCGAAGGTCATGCACAACCAACACACATCTACTTAGAATATTTTTCTTGACTTATTTAAATGTTGCTGCCCGCGAAACGGTTCAAAGTTAATTGTGAAAATCAGTCACGAATTGCTTTATGGTTTTAGAGGGGAAGTGGAGTTTTTGTAAGCTTCCGCTTGTATATTATCCGAGAGACTTCGTTGCACTTGTAATTTATTTCAATCAACTGCATTTAACCCTTTGTAAATTAATGTTTGTTTATTATTATTTTTTTCACAAAACACTGTAATATAAATTTGACTAATCGGATAATTAAATAAAGCAGCTACTGCTTTGCGTCTACAATTCAATGTTTTTTTTCTCCTTTTTCTTTCAAAATGTTTCACCGTCTGTCTCGCACACACATCAAGTTCAATTGAAACTTCATCAAAAAGCGTTAATCAATCATGTGTCAAGAAACTCTACTGTGTACATGTGAAAATATCAAAAATATAAATCTTTATTGTATAATTTAATTTTCGTTCGTCTCTTCTCTCTCTCACAGTGGGAAATAAGTGTAGTAGTTCAAAAAAAAATAACACCCACATTCAACTGATATTCAACACCGAAACTAAGAAAAGCCTCACTAAAGAATATTTTTCATCCAAAATAACACCGAAAATATGCTTTGAAAATATATAAATAAGTAAACAAAACACAAAAATATATCCAAAAGTTTGAACTATTTTTCTTCTTTAAGAAAGCATTGCCTTCAAGATTCAACACACTTCCGAGACGTTTCTTTAAAATTCAACGTGCTGTCGCGACGAGAAAATCAAAACTGAGTCGACCGACACGAAACCTTTTGAAAAGTTTTGAATTTTTTTATGCCTTGTTTTCACTTTATGCTCTCTTTGTGGTTTCGCTTTTCAACTCTCATTCTCACTGATACACTTGCTTGATCGAACCCAGTTGGAAAAAGTTGAATCAATATTTATTTGAAAAACTGAATAAAGTTTTCACACAATTTAATTTCATGTAAAGAATTTTCTTATAATTTAATCGATAAACTTGACGTGAATTTTTCTTTCTGGGCTTTTCAAACTGTTGATTCAAGAGAGCTTTTTATTTCTCACTCACAGAGAGCTGAACGTTCATTCTCATCAATGGAGTTGTGTCTCTTAAACATGCATAAATATCTCGTCGTAAATGCATTCTCTCAATAAAATATCTCGCTCATGCACTATGCACTTCATCTATCATAAAAAGAATTATATGTACATGATGTACACCCGTACACCGAACATCTACATAAATTAAATGATTAATCAGAGATTTGATTCATTGTCGTTGTTTCATCGAACCCTAGAGAAAACAAATTTAAATTTATGTAACCATTTTTTTATACTGTTCTGATTTTCTTTTTGTCTTTGAAAGTCGTATTAAAAATAGAACTGTTTAACCCTCTCGACTCTGACCCCGTAGACACACATATGAAAATCAGAGTGCTTCACTTCTTTTCTTTTGGCGTTTCGCGGATTATTTTTAGAAAATCGTCGCCTTTCTTCGACAGATAAATTTTCACTTGGATCTTTTTGTGTTTATGGATTGTCGTGGGCCTTTCATCAACATGTAATATATTTTCTAGTAGTGTTTGACTTAAAGTTCAACTATGAGACTTACTCAAACGGATTTTAACATCCTATTCGCAATTGAAAACAAGAAATATTTTGTTTATTTATTTTTCACTCACAGCAGAGATGGGCAAATGTTCCGTTCAACTCGATTGACTGACTGACTGACATGTCAATGTCTGTCAGTCAGTCAGTCAGTCAGTCAAAATCGCGAACAAAAATATTCGTTTGTTGGGAAACGTTCATATAAATGTTCCGCTCAAGTCGTTTGACTGACTGACTGACAAGTCAATGTCTGTCAGTCAGTCAGTCAAATCCCAACTCTGACTCACAGCGAATAAAGACTGAGCAGCAAAAGAACGAATGAAGCACCACAACTATTCGACAGACAAATAAAATGAATCATAAGTTCATCGATAATTCAGAGAAAGGTTAAAGAGCAACTGAAAGGTCAACGAAAAAGTATTTTCGTCGCTTTTCTTTAACATTGTATTGGAGAGGAAGCAAGAAAGAGAAAGAGAAGGAAAAGGTTATGAGTTCATTTGTATGACGATATTCCATCCCATCGCACACTTAGAAGTTTTCGCTTATTGACCGAAGTTGAAGATTATCTCAGTAGAAATGTTACCTGACATTTATTCTAAGAACCTTTTGAAAAGCCAACGTTGTCAACAACGACAAGGCTTTTACTCTCATACTCTGTTTAGTCATATAGAATTTCTGATTAGTTTGTCATTGAACTTTTCGTGCATGTTTTCAGAGTTTAAGAGGAATGAGTGAAGCGAATGGGTCGCGTTTAGGGTCGAGGGAAGTTTAACAAAGATCATCAGTTTCTTTTTATTAAAGCTGATTATTTTATGAACACTTCACAAGCATTTTTATTCGTAAGTATTAATTGAGAAAGATGAAATGACAGCTAGGAATTTTTAAAGATTTTATCTAATGATTGGATGCTTTGATACGTGCAAAAACTAAACAACAGGAAGTAAGAAAAAACTTTGTTGTTTTATATGTCAATTGATGAAATAACTTTAATGTGATCAAGTTCATAATCGACCACCAGCGACACTCAGTTCATCGATACATTGTGAATCCAATTAATTGGCAATTTCTTTTCTCAACAAAGGTAAACAGAAGCGATTTAAAATAATCTTTAAAAGTCGTCTCTATTGAGATGACTTTGCCTCCGAAACTATCGATGTGCATGAAACTTTTATGCAGAAGAATGAAAACCAAATTAATTGATCTCAATTCCTCGTTTCCAATTTTCAATCTCAAATTGTTGTTGTTCTTTAAATTTGCCTTCCATGTTGGGTTCATTGTTTCAAGTCGATGATAAATCAATAAACTGCAGTTTAATTGTGATGTCGCTCGGAAAGAAAATAAATATGCTGTTTAAAATGTTAATTCCCGCTCCATCGAGGCAGATTGAATGCAATTTAGGATTTCTTAATTAAATTGTAAAACAGAAGAAAAAAAAAATAACATCAAGTCATCGACATTTCACTTGAGAGTTTGTACAGAAGCAGAACATAATTTATGCTGAATTTCACGTTTTATGCAATTGTGAGCACAATTATGAATTAATTGCCTGGTGCAACTGCAATTCTTTTTCCTTCACAACCATAGCCTTGTTGTGGGGTCAAGTGAGAAGAGAAAGAAATCTCGATTATCGTTTGTTGTACAATTTTTATATTTTTAGAGATTTATTAGTGCGGTTGATGACAGTTGTACTCAACATTTTACACCTAGGATTAACTATTTGTAAGCATTAAATGCATTGGAAATAAAATCATAACAGCTTCATCATCACTGGGTACATGAATTAAAATCTTATAAACCGCAGTTATGCGGATCTTTATGATGCGATGTGCATTCTAGAATTTCATGCTATTCTGATTTCATTATCATACATATCTCTAATTAATAGACGATGCTGTTAGAATATATGCTTCTTGTGGATTCGGTCCAATACCTTAACGATGAACTATTTCAATGTTGAATAACAGAATTCGCGCTTCAACAATTTGATGATGAAACAAATTAAAAAAATTATTTTTTGATAAGCGAATGAAAACGTCTCCAAAAATTATTTTTTTCGTTTATTTTATTTTTTTTGCTTCCTTTGCAAGGCACAGAAACTTTCACAAATACAAATTTTATCACAAAAATATTACATGAAAGCCTATCATCGATCTCACGACGAGTATAAAATATTGTTAGGTTGTCATTTTCAATGGCACTCTTAAAATTACTTCTTTTTACGATTATTTCTGGTTTCGTTTAAGATCAATTAAGTAAGTTGAAGATAAGTACTTTTTATATTCAAAAGGTATTTAAAAAATATTCCATTTTTTTCTAAGTTTCTTCCTTTGTTTTCTATACAAAAATAAAATAAAATTAAGTCGATGTTCTGAGTCGTTAAAACTAAATTTCTAAAGTTATTACCGAATTTACACTTTAAAGATAAAAGCATGAAAGCGGAATGTTTTTGTTAAATTTGTGACATAATGCGAAGTAATAAAATAATAAATAATTGGTTACAAATGATTAAAAGCTTCTTAAATTGATGAAGAATATGAGCTGGGAACTTCAAAAACGATGACTTGGCCGGCATGTTTAAATCCAACATTCTCAACACCAGCAACAGCTTCGATTGACATTTTTCTTGGCTTGCCACCCAAATTGACAGGAAAAGCAGCTGAAACATTCACTGGCAGATCTTTTCCAGTATAACTGTGAAGAAATAAAATAAACGATCATCAAATAATTGAAAATTGAAGAAGAAAAAAGCTCGAAAAAAGCTTACTCGTAATATTTCTTGCAAACATGTCCAATAACTTCACCAACACGATCTTCTTTAAGTTGTGTATGTTCACCTTGCAGATTGACAATTAAATCATTATTATGGTGCGAATGGAAAACAATCAATTGATCACGTCCTGGCGAGACGGAAATACTTGAAATTTCTTTTATTGGCACGGATCTCTTCATGTTCTTGAACTTGTTTTTGGCACCGTCAAGCTTATAAATTGCAGCATCAGTAATGATAATTGATCGATCAGCTGACTTGTTACACTTATTGAATTTCTTGATAAACGATGAGAAAACAATCGCTTTATATTGATCGGTATTCTTAATGTTGTTAACACTGGCGTTAAAAGGAGAGTAATTTGAATTCTCCGTTGAAATCGACAAATAATTTCCCAGCCACTTTCTTTCCTGTCCCCAAAACTTTCTTCGCTTCTTCAAAGCCGTCGCTGTAATGATTTGAAGTCTCAACTGCGGCCATTCACTGCGTGGATATCTCTTCAATATCATGCTAGCACGCCAATTATAAAACAATTGTTTCAAATGCTTCTCGGCACTCTTCCCAACTATTGGTGGTGTTGGCCATTGAATTGACTTTCCATAATCTCTCATCTTTTTAGCATGTTGGAATCGTTGTGCAAGCATTGCCACGTAACCTCTTAATTTAAGTTGTCTATAAATTCGCATTATTGTTGCAGCTGCTTTCATCTTCTTATACTGTTGTCGACAAATCCAACCGCGAACTTGCTTTTGAAGTAAAATGACGATGTTTGGAATCATTTCATTACGTTCTCGTTCAAGTTGGAAAAGTGTTCTTGGTGAACGAATGAACACTTTTGTATGTCCAAACTTGCAATCATTAATAAGTCGTTTCTCTTCGAGTAACACACGAACACCGTCTTTGTCAGAGCCACCCCTGAAATTTGGCCACGTATACTGGGATAACATTTTATAACGAAGTAGGAATTTATCGTAACGTTGGCGATGAACGAAGCCCGCTCGTCTAACGCGGACATTCTCCAACAACCCAAGATATCTCACTTGATGTTCGATTCTCACGTCGTCAAACATTGTCGGTGACTTTATGTCGTTAGGTTTGATGCATCGAACATAAAAAGGTTCTTTCGATAGAAGTGTTGCAACCAAATCGCTCATAGATTTTTGGAAAATTGTTCCCGCTGTCAAAGGTCGCTTTGTTGTCTTCGTGATGTCTTGTGCACCTTCGGGCCACATTGATGACAAGATTTTATCTTTCGAATTATACAAAAGACGTTTAAAATCTTGGAATAATGTGTCCTTGTTCTTATCAATGAACCCAATGATAGAATAAATCACGTCGCCCGCGTAGTGACTAAAAGATTAAATTACGATTCAGTTTTATCGATGAAAAAGAAATAGAAACTTCGTGCATGTAAGCTTACGTGATGCGGAAATCCACTTTGTGCTTCAATTCCTTGTCCATTGGTTTTAATTGTCGACTTGAAAAATGTTTATGATGGGCGAGTTTTTGATCCATCGCTTCCAAAAGCATTTCGTCGTTGACTTTTCCGACAGTAAGACAAGCTTCATCCGTAATGGCGATGATTCCTTTATGTGGCGCTTCTACCAAGTCACAAATTATTTGATTATTAAAATATTCTACGTTTGTCCATTCAATGCCTTCTCGTTGATATTCTTGTTGTTCCTGTTTCAGTACAAGTTCAATGAAAAGTTGCTGGAGTTTCTCATTACAATAATTAATGCTGCAAAGATATCGATGAATGATAAAAATTTTCACAATGAAAATATTCATTTTATTTACCAGAATTGTTCAAAACTGTTGTTATCAAATATTTCAAAACCATAAATATCGAGTACGCCGATGACACGATTGAATCTTTTTTGCAAATTTTTATTAGGAACCTCAATGGCTTTATTAATCCGCTCGACAATCCATGTGAATAAACGGTCATAAATCGCTTTCGCCAACGCATCACGACCGAACTCAGCTTGAACCTGATCATGACTTTTCTTCATGATATCGCCGTGAGCAGCAATGACTCGTTGGGTCAATGCCGTTGACAATTCATTTTCTGTTACCATCAACATTTTAGCAAGTGTTTTCGTCTGACTTTTATTTTTAACGATGATCTCATCATCTTCCGCTCCGAAATTTACATTTCCTAAATGTAGAATCGCCGCTATCGTTCGCCAAACACAATTAATTTCCTCAACTGAAAATCCAAACGCCTTGAAAGCTAACGCTGTTGCTTTGTAATCATTTTTCTCAGAAAGTGTCTCAGTCGACCCCTGATTTGTATAATGGTAATTTGAAGGATCACGTGACAATTCATATTGCCTAAGTTCAGCATCATTCGAACCTCGAAGTAGCTGTAAAAAAATTATTTTTTATCATTTTATGGACATTACATAAGAGATACGTAATCAACTTTCTTTATCTTATCATTTTGATATTTATGTACTCAAAAATAAGTATATCAATAAAATAATAATTCAGCAAATAAATGTAATTTTTTCTTCACCTGATAAAAGCAATGAAAACTTCTCTCGCCCGGCTGTTGTTTCACAATTCGCGATTTTTCAAGTAGAAAATTCGTTATAATGCCACCAACAGGGTCATGTTTGAAGTCAAACTCGATGTCCATGTACTTGCCAAACCGTGATGAGTTGTCGTTACGATTAGTTTTCGCGTTACCAAAAGTCTCGAGAATCGTGTTTGATTGGATCAGGACATTTTTTACCCTGTTAATAATTTTTTTTTTAATTTCTATCAAGGTCATTTCAGGAAATGAACTCAAAGCTTTAATTTTATTACCTTTCGATATCGTTTTGAGAATGGGCATTTGTGACCGCTGCAATATATTTCATGATTATTTTCGATGCCTCCGTTTTTCCAGCGCCGGATTCTCCACTAATCATGATGCATGTATTTTTATTTTGTTGTCTCAAAACACGATAAGCGGCATCAGCGACAGCATAAATGTGAGGTGGATTCTCGAAAAGCTCTCTTCCTTTATACTTTGTGATGAATTCATTGGCGTAAATGTTTAAAGAACGATAGGGATTTACAGAAACTGCAACTTCTCCGATATATGTGTAGATTTTCCCTGCTTGGTATCTGTAATGAAAACATACATTTAAAATTTTTTATCAAGAAGAATTATTAAACCTAGAATGTTTCCTCATGACTTATAGAAACGCTATCGTGACTTCCCCATAAAAATAATAATTTATCAAACTTATAAAGAGCAAATCAATCAAGTATTAGTTTAGTTAAGCCTCGTTTTTCTCCACTGTTGGAAGTTAATAACATGGCGAAAGTACACATTATTCTTATATTTTCGCTGGCTTTTGCTTGTATTTATGCTGAAAAGCAAAAAATTCATCTTAGAAATAGACGCCCTAAAACTGATCCAAGCCAGGGGAACATTAGACCGTCAGTTCCATCAGGTGACGATTATGGTGGATCTTCTTCAGACTATTATTATTATTATGATGATTCAAGTGATGATTCGGAATTATATCCAGATGACAGTGCAAGTGATTATTATGGAACAAGTGAAGATAGTATAGATTCAAGTGACGATGCAACTTCGGGTTCTGGTGTGTCAGGTGGAACCGACACATCAGAAGATGAGGGTGGCGATTCTAGTTCCGGAGATGCAGGAGAATCAAGCGTTGAAGACGGTGGATCAAGCGTTGAAGACGGTGGATCAAGCGTTGAAGGCGATGGATCAAGCGTTGAAGGCGATGGATCAAGCGTTGAAGGCGATGGATCAAGCGTTGAAGGCGATGGATCCAGCGTTGAAGGAGATGGATCAAGCGTTGAAGGCGATGGATCAAGCGTTGAAGGCGATGGATCTAGCGTTGAAGGCGATGGATCAAGCGTTGAAGGCGATGGATCAAGCGTTGAAAGCGATGGATCAAGCGTTGAAGGCGATGGATCAAGCGTTGAAGGCGATGGAGCAAGCGTTGAAGGCGATGGATCAAGCGTTGAAGGCGATGGATCAAGCGTTGATGGCGATGGATCAAGCGTTGAAGGAGATGGATCAAGCGTTGAAGGCGATGGATCAAGCGTTGAAGGAGATGGATCAAGCGTTGAAGGCGATGGGTCAAGCGTTGAAGGAGA